TAAGAGCTTTGTTTAAAAGTCTGGATTTATAAAGAACCTCCAGAACAGGAAGCTCACAGCCCACGGTCCTCTTTGCAGAGCGGAGCACCTTGTTTAAAGCTCTCTTTTCTTTATCTGTGATGTTTCCAAACCACACAGACACAGAATCAACAAGTAAACTCTCAATGGTGCAGCGATAAAAGTTGCTCATATGTGTGCATACTCATAGACACACACGTAGATGCCTATACCATAGACTGTATATATTAAGCCTATACACATATACACACACACAGAGACAAACTATCAATTAATCATAGCGATTAGATTCCTTATCTTTTGAGAAAAATGTGAGAAAGAGACCCCAACTTTAATGGATTTTTGATGATTTTGACACAACTTTAATGGGCACTTCCTTAGAGATGGGGGCAAGAGCTCGGAATGTAGCCGCTGCTCCTCCACTTCAAGAATAGCCATTTGAAAACCCAGGTGAAATCCAGGACTGAGGCTGTAGATCTAGGACTGAGGATGTAGATCCAGGACTGAGGCTGTAGATCTAGGACTGAGGCTGTAGATCCAGGACTGAGGCTGTAGATCCAGGACTGAGGCTGTAGACCCAGGACTGAGGCTGTAGATCCAGGACTGTATTTTGCATCTGGCCTTGTAGTACCTGCAGTAGCCTCTTGGGGGCAGCATCACATCTGAATCTCATTTCACCTCAGATTCAGATTCAAAGCGGTGAAACCATGGACTGTATATATTAACACAGAGGTCTCCACGTGACCTGAGCCAGTTTCAGTGTTTGGTTTAGAGCCAGTTCTGACATAAGGAGAATGCAAATAAAACATCAGCGAGTCATTTGCAGCACAAAGATGTCAGAACCTGTTTAAAGCTGAGTTACTTAACTTTTTGTTACATAAATAATACACGTTTATTCCAACAGAGAGAGAAACTAGTAAAAGTAAAAATATAGTATAAAACCAATGCATTATTACGTGAAACTAGAGATAGATCTGTTTTTAGAGCGAGGAATGATAATTTATGGATTTGAGCTCATAGAGTTACATGGTTGTGGTTTGAAAGTCAGGAACCCCAGCTTTAATACCCTATGTTTCTAGAGGAGTGTATCCTGCTCCTCTGTGTCATGTGACAGAAAAAGGAAGTGACTCAGGCCCAAAGGAGAACAGGCATTTATTACAAAACATTTCATCAGAATAGTTATTTATTCAACTCAAATTGTTTTTCTCTCTGATCTCTCTCTGGTCTCCCTCTCTCTCTGGTCTCTCTCTGTTGTCTTTCTCTGTTCTCGCTCTAGCGTCTCTGGTCTCTCTCTGATCTCTCTCTCTGGTCTCTCTCTGATCTCTCTCTCTGGTCTCTCTCTCTGTTCTCGCTCTAGTGTCTCTGGTCTCTCTCTGATCTCTCTCTCTGATCTCTCTCTCTGGTCTCTCTCTGAGGTCTCTCTCTGGTCTCATTCTGGTTGTGGTTTATAGACTGGTCCAGCAAGTGCACCAAAGTGACTGAGTAAATATGTTTTATTTTATGCTAATGAATAAATAATCAATGGACCGATGCACACATAGTACAACCATCAAACACACAATAAACAATATCCAATAAAATCTGTGTTTTTCCGGTTTCCTTTGATAGTAATAAAAACTATATTTTATTGTTTTAAACCATAATAGACTTGTTTCCTGGTGTTGTGCAGTGATGTTGGTATTTTTACTCTGTCTGCAGTAAAAGCTGATAATGTGTGTAATGTTTAACTTTGGTCAATGATAAATCCTCGGAACGATCTGGACATTTTCCACTGAAAACAGCAGCAGGACCCACGGCTGACGCAACTGAGACCCACAAATGTGTAAGAACTGACAAGGATCAGGTTTGGATCCACTTTTATTTTTATTTTTATGTTATGTTCTGTTTTTTATAAATATACAATACAAGAAGCTGCTAGGCTCCTTAGCTAAATAGTAAGAACCTATTATACGAATATATATAAATAAATATGTATAGACTACAGAATACAGAGTGCGCAGTTCTCATTGTACAGTCTGACAGCAGCAGTATGGAAAGACCTAAGGAACCTCTCCTTCACAGTGTGGGTGAATAAGTTTGTCACTGAAGCTGCTCTCCAGAGCAGACAGTGTCCTGAAGGGGGCGACAGTCACAGTCCATCAGGAAGGCTGGTCTTCCTGATGACCTGTTCCAGCTTCTTCCTCTCTGACCCCACCGTACCGATCAAGGCTGATGCATCTGATGAAATTACCGTTGAAACTAAGCTACTAAAGAGTCTTATTTTGGTAATCATATCTCCATTTGTCATGGAGAAATTCTTATTTTTGTGGATTGAAAGTTACAAATAAGAACTTACACCAAATGAATACCTGCTGTTATGCAGTTTCTACATAAGGAAATCTTTGAGACACACTGAACAAATCAACCCAAAACAGCACAATTTTTATCCAAAACTTTTTATTCAACCTAAAAAAAACAAAAAAAAAAAAGTACAACTTTATATATATATATAAATATGGATATGAATGTATATATCTCATCTTATATATTCACCGTACTGCAGGCTGGACCAATGTCCTCTCAAAACCACTTTGCAGAATCTACCACCGACGTCCAGTGAGAAAAATACTGAGAAAACATTGTATTTTTGTACAAACTTTGGCTTTAAGCGTCGATTTATTGCCTGAAAATCACATCTCCCATTTAACAAAAGGCAGTCATTCAAATACATACACGCAAGGCTAGCCCTCCATTCATTTCAATGGGAGCTCACCGTCCATTCATTTCAATGGGAGGCGACTGGAACCAGCTTTGACAGATAAATGGCAATCTATGGAAACTTTCACATTGACAAGGTGATCGAAAGATGTAAAAAAAAAAGAAAAAAAAAATTACAAAAAGAGGAAAACCAAAAGATTGGACTATGTACAAGTGAAATCAGAACTCCCACACACAATGGTTTTATGGTAGAGATTGGAATTTGTAAAAAGGCACTCAAACAAGTCAAGTTTTTCTGTAATAATAAACATTAAGTTGGTTGTAGATGTTGAATCTATGGTTGGGGTGAAGTAGGAGCAGGAATCAGCACAGTAGCAGTGGTTGGATTTGGATATTTTGTATTTTACATTTTATTGATACAAAATTCTACAGTTTTAGTGTTTTGTCATCACAAATAACTTTCTAATGTTGGGTCAAGATACATTTATAAAATCAGTTTAAAATTTGCTTCAACATGGAGTGGACCCAATGCAAAACACTGGACAAAAACTACTAATGCATGACATTAAATAGGTGATTGCTACTTGCTGTTGAGAACTACTGCAGTAAAAAAGGTTGAATTTCAATCCAAAGGCAAAGAAAAGGAAGAGAAAAGAAAATGAGACAAAAACTATGTACATTTTGTTTTAGAGTAAAACTGAGGCAGTAGCGGCGACGTGACACTAGTCAGTAAAAAAAAAAAACAAGTTAAGAAAATACAAATAAGGATCAGAAATGTATCCCCAAAAATTACATATGAAATAGAAAAAAAAAAAAAAGTATAAATAAAATCTGGCAGATATTACAAGCTACTCCTCACAATTCACATGGACTGAATTAAAAAACCTTTTGCGTTAAATCTGCCTTTAAATGAATGGGAAAAAAAAAAAAAAAAACATACAAAAACCCTATGAACCAGGTATCTGAGTCCATAACGGGCAAAGATAAACTAAAATTCATGAAACTAAAATGAACTCCAGCTCACATTACGACAGCCTCTTCACCCAGTCCCATCAGAAACCTTGCAGCTGTTCCCTTTGGTCCAATCTTCACGTCTTTTCCCAACAATAACAATATAAAGTAAGTGCAACAGCCTTTATTTCAAGTGAAGACGAGGAGGAAGAGATGCGTTGTGAACACTTTTGACCTCGAGAAAAAACCAAATATGTACAAACAAACAAAATTGGCGAGAACCGTTTTTGAGAAGATTTTGTTTCATGTCGATCCCGGTCCTGTCACCATGAAGACGATAGACTTCCAATAGCTCAGGTTGGGACGTATATGAAGCAAGTGGCAGTCCATACACTGTCTATTTTTTGGCTTATGTCAATCCGTTTTGAGTTTGCAGAAATACTAAGATCGTGACTGAAACCAAAACAGGAAAAAAAAAAAAAATTGTCCATCAAAATAATACTGCAGTGAAAGTATTAAAAAGGCTAATAAGGTCGTTTTGGTGACAGGCCAAGATTATTTCAGTGTCTGTAGGGGAACCATACCAACTTCCATGTCCTCATTTCAACCCAAGCGGCAAAACAATCTATTTAAAAATCTCCAACTTTAAACTTGACCAAAACAGTGGCAAAAATAGGTCATTTCTTAAGAACAAGACATAACATGAAAGTTGGAATCTTCTGAAGTCTATGGGTTTTAGAGCGACTGGAGTTGGACTGGTTTGAATTTAGTCGACTTTTCTAGATCTTAGTCCTTTTGAGAAGTCTTTGTAGGTCAGATAGTCCAACTTTTAACATCTCTGTGGATCAGTTTTTGTTTAACTGATCTCAAAGTACTCTCTAGAAAGGTATCTAAAGAGTACTTTAGCAACAAAGACAGTTCTTTATGAATTTTTGATCTACAAAGTCATCTCGAGACTATTTCCCGACAGAAAGTTCAAGACTACTATGTCTGGAAATGGTATCTAGACGACTAGTCCAACTGTTGATATCTAAGCCTTTGTTGGGGAAGTAGTCTCGTCCATAAACAAAATCTGATCGACAGACTTCAACACGACTAGAATCTAGAGAGACTAAAGATGAATCGTAGCGATTTCTCAATAGGACTATAGGTCACAACTGTTGACATCTCTGGATCACATAGAATTTCCAGATCGTAGTCCTTTTGAGGAGTCCTTGGAGGCCAAATTGTCCTTGTTTAGATTTCTGATGGGTGGAGAAATACTTTGATGACTTTGAATGCATTCTGTCCATGTTTTTATGGCTTTTCTGGTACGGCAGAGATGGTGTCCGAGGTCAGATGAACTTGTAAGTCAGGTAGTCCTGCAGGGGTTTGGGGATGGCCAGCGCCTCCACCTGCTGCGTGCTCATCAGGCGCCGCACGGTCATTCTGCACAGATGCTGCAGGCTGGAGACGGAGCGCGGAGCCTCCCAGAAGTGAACACCGCCGTCACGAGTTCTGGAAGAAGAAGAAGAGGGGTCAGTGCTGTACAGGGGGAAGACGAGACCATGGACTCCCTGTAACTATAATAACTGTAAACGTTGGCGTGAGGTTTCACTTCTTATCCAGAGATCATAGTAGTAGTTTATTTCTTTGGCAATTATGTACATTAGATCTCAGGTCACATGTTTTCAAAGATTGTATATACATTTTACAATAATAATAATAAAAAACTAAAATGTGTCAATTAAGAATTTTAGTGCTAAATAATGCCTGACCGAAAGGGGTTTAGGCTGAAGTCGAGACTTATTATGAAATTTGAAAAACACAACATTTGTGTTCTCTTATTTTGGACAAGAATACTTTTGAAACTTCTTTAATTCGTCCATGATTGATCTACTGTTTAAGATTACCCAAACTGATTTAATTCAAATGAAGTCACTATCTACATGTATCTGATCTGTGTTTTTGGATTGTCTGTTTTAAGTGTGTGTTTTGCAAAGCTAGATTTTTTCACACATTTATATAACCACTAAAAGTAAAACCGACAGATAGCAAGAGATGGATTAAAAATAATACTTTGTGCAGTTTTGCTTTTACGACTTCAAAAAGCAAGACACAACAAGCTTCAAGCAAGTCACAAACCCAACTGTAGCGATCGAGGAGAAAGGAATCCCACACAAACCAGGTTTCATTTGAATGGAACCTTTGCAGCTTTTTTGGAGACTTCAGCTCTGACTGCAATAAAACTGTCAAACGGTCTCTGGTACGTGTCTTTCTCTCAGGCTGTTGCAGAATGTTGTGCCCCTCCCTCCCTCCCTCCCTCCAGAATGAACCAGAGTAACCCTACAGTACTCACCCTGCAGCCAGTACGCCCCCTTCAGGCGAGAAGGCGCAGCACAGGCTGTTGGGCAGAGAGGCGATGGCCTGAGGAGCGCGCTGCTCGATGCTCCAGAACCGAACCAACCTGAAAATAAACAAAAACACAGTAGTTTATGTGTTGGAAGTGAAGAAATACAGAGTCACCAGCAGTTTTGCTTGTTCCTAAGACTTGAACAATTGAACAGTTTTATTCTCTCTCGGAAACGACTTTATTCTCTTAGACATTGATTCTGGATAGATGAACTAAACTTCTCCACACTGTAGTCCTAAGCATTTCTGCATTCTAATCTTTACTGCATGCTCACAACAACGAGGAGACACAAATCACAAGCCATTTTGTAACATAACAGGTGTTCATGTGATATCACAGCATTCCAATGAGCCTATAGTTTTACATAGGGGTGGAGGGCAGCTGGAAAATCTGTCCTGGTAACTATGGTGATGATTTAGAGCGTGTGCAATTCCGAGACGCAAGACTATCGGACTTTTGACAATCCGGGAATGTGTCTCGCTCTCTGATCTCACCCTCTCCTCTACCTTTCCCTCCCTCCCTTTTCTTCTCTCTGGTCTTTCTCAGTCTCTCACCCTCTCTCTCTCCAGTCTCCACCTCACTCTAACCCAGTCTTTAGTCTCCCAGTCCTCTGTCTCCAGTCTCCCAGAGAGATGGTGTGAGACAGAGACTGGGTGAGATAGAGACTGGAGACAGGGTGAGAAACTGAGAAAGACCGGTCTCCCACTCAGCCTCCGTCTCACACCCACTCTCTGGTCTTTCTCTCCCTCTCCGTATCAACTATGATCTAATTTTCCCATAAGAAAACATTCTAGAAATAGTGACAATATTGAACTAGTGACCAACATCATGCATAATAAAAATATATCTTTAAAAATGTCTTTCCCAGAGAGCAGGACTGAGAAACCACTTTACAACATTAGAACTACCCATTATGTAAAAACCTAAAAAAACAAACACATTTTTAGTCCGTTTTCTGATCTGGGAGAAGGATCTAATCGGCTCCCAGTTCTTAAAAGCTGGTCTGTCCATCTGGCACTGGCCTGGCTGGTTCAGACTGGATTTGACTGGTTCTGTTGCATCTGTTTCCATGCAAATGTTTTTCACCCGCGGCGAATTCAACAGGAGGTGATTAAACTTGTGACCGGTTGGAACAGAGCCGTACAGTGGCCCGCAGAGGACAAACAAGCCTCACACTGGAGCTAGCATGTGGCTATGGCTGTTTACACAAAAACAGGAGAAGCCAGAGAGAGCGTGTGTGTGTTAGAGTATGTTCACTGGGCCCTAAACCAGTCCGATCACTCGTCCCAGTTCTATTTATTTAGAAATACAACTTTCACACAAGAAATATTGTGTGCTATAAATTTACTTTTCGCCCTCAGACCTGATCTTGAGGACTTTTGTGTATATTCACAAACACGAAATGGCATAGACTTAGGCTTAATGTGGAGGAAGCGGATTCGAACCAAAAGGAGCCAATTTCCTTATATGGGCATTTGTTCCAACAGGGTTAGTTTTGGGCCAGAACACAGGTAAACGTTTAAAATGTATGGTAGCTAACAGCCCCTACACACCACACGAGTCTTGTGAATTGGACGTTAGCCTTTGACACTAGCAAAGCTCCACTTGTCCACAGCACTTGTATTAAACATTAAAAGGAGGGCCTTACACATATCTGGATTATCAGTTTTCCTACTGAGAGCAGTTGGCGGGGGGTCTTGCGCAGACATGCTGGAACGCCACCCTGGGCCAGTGGGGGTGGACCACGAATAAGAATTAGTCAATGCTAATGTATAGCATCTTCTTTCCTCTTGAAAATGTCTTTACAGGATGGTCCAAAAGTGGCTGTTGGCCCAAAGCTCCGCTCCACATGTGTCAATGCTGAGGAGAGTGCATTTTTTTGACCAGTCTAGTTTAGCCGCAGTGGAATTTTGAATGCACAGCTGACTCATGCGCAACTGCGTTTTTTCACATTTTCCAGCCCCGCGGCCATTTTGAAACTGCCCAAATATGGCAAAAGTGATGGCACATTAGTTTCATCGGTGGAGAAGGGCGTGACTATGTCCTTAATATTTACAGTCTATGACTGAAGTCAGGGAGCCTTTTGAATCTTTATCAATACATTTTCACTGCTGATAAAATCTACAATTATCACCGTTTATCAGTGGCAGCCCATCAGCAAAACACCAAAGTTTATGCAATAACTAGTTATTTGATCATGAGAACAAAGTGCCGACTTGGCCCTGGGTGTTTTGATTATGGCCACAGGATTCACACCAGCTCCTGTCTGAAACCTCACTGTACAGTCTGTGTGTGTTTTTCTCAAAGTAAAGTTAATGTGCGGATGTGAAATATGCTGACGCCTCATGCTCTGGTCTCGTGATTGTGTAACAGCCGTTTGCGATCCTACTGTTCAAATAACACATTTTTCTCACTTCCACAGCCTCGACCTTCTCTAAACTGGACTCACTTGTCGTCAGTGATGCTGGCGATGTGCCGACCGTCGGGGCAAAAGCTCACGGAGCGAACCCAGCGGTCGTTGGAGCCTCCCGCGAAAATGGGAGACGGGGGAGGGAACAGGTGTCTGCAGAGAGGAGAGAGACGTTAGAAGCAGAAGGAGAAACTTTGTGAAGAATTTAGGGACTAAGCCAAAGAAAAACACAGACCAGGATTTAAGGACTTTTAATCATCTCTCCCTCAAGTCTCGCCCTCAAGTCTCGCCCTCAAGTCTCGCCCTCAAGTCTCGCCCTCAAGTCTCGCCCTCAAGTCTCGCCCTCAAGTCTCGCCCTCAAGTCTCGCCCTCAAGTCTCGCCCTCAAGTCTCGCCCTCAAGTCTCGCCCTCAAGTCTCGCCCTCAAGTCTCGCCCTCAAGTCTCTCCCTCAAGTCTCTCCCTCAAGTCTCTCCCTCAAGTCTCTCCCTCAAGTCTCTCCCTCAAGTCTCTCCCTCAAGTCTCTCCCTCAAGTCTCTCCCTCAAGTCTCTCCCTCAAGTCTCTCCCTCAAGTCTTGTTGTGAAAGGCATCTTAGCACAATCTAGAGTTAGTTTATTTCTCTTGTGCTGTGTGCTCCTCGTTCCTACTGCTCTGTAACTGATGATGCAACACTGACATTTCCCCACAGTGGGATGAGTAAATCTTAATATTTTTTTTACAGTCTGGACAGTGTTGGTCCCTATGAACCAAAGGCTGCTATGTGTTTGTTATTATATAGTTTCCGGTGTTCTGTTTGATTCTCTGATCTATTGTTGGTGAATCGACAACTTTGTAAAGTCCAGAGAGATGACTGCTGCTGTGATTTAGGAGGATACAAACATTCTGGTGCTCAGCAGAACAGATAAGCAGCATGTTTCTGTTTTAAAATGAGTCACTGAGGTTTGATAACAGATAAGTGAACATTCTCTACTCCGAGTGTCACAGATAAACCGTTTCCTGTGGAAGGAGACGGGAAAAGGCACATTTAAAAGTCAAAGCTGTTGCAGCACATATCAGCAAAGATTATTATTAAATATACAATGAAGTGTTTATTTTTAGCCAGGGACTACAGATTGAGAATATTCTTGTCTGATGAGTTTTATTAAATGGTACTGTCCTCTTTAAAATAAATTAAACTGTATATTAGAGTGTGTTCTAAACCAGTTGAACCAGCAATGATTTGCACTGAAACTAGCTTTGTTTTTATTATTTAATTTGATGGGACAGAGCATAGTCATGACACACACATTGTGCCAAAACTGCTCAGGAAGTAGAGTAAGCCTCAGACCTGGACCCAGACCCAGACCACGTACCCGAGCTCCAGCAGCACGCTGCCCTTGTGGTGGTCCCACACGAGGACACGAGTGTCGTAGGAGGCTGTGGCCAACAGCGCCCCGTCAGGTGAGAACTCGCACGACACCACGTCATTGTGGTGGCCCTCCAGCTTCCGGATCAGAGTGTATTTGTCCATGTTCCATAGGAACACCTGAAAGGAGGAGAGGGCGCGGTTATAGCCACAGAAACACACCACACGCTACAGCTACAACTACTCAATTTGCAAATCAAGCAAAGCTTTAAGTAGAATGTGAGAGTTATGCTCTGTGTCACTTTATCAGGCCAAACATGAGGCTCATGCTAAAGCAGCGGCTTTATGAGAGTCTAGGCTACGTATGAGAGTGTGCCAAAGTGTACCAATGTGGGCTAATGTGTTCCAATGTGGGCTAATGTGTGTGAGAAGGTAAACAGTGAAGTCATGTGAAGCTAGAGCTAACAGTGACTAAGACATTATTTAAAGCTAACAGTTTAACAGGTCTAGACAAAAGAGAAAATAAAACAAGTAGTAACTTATGGTAACATAATGTTACTCCACTGGTTTCCCCTTTCAGAGTCTTTTGCTCTGTTTACAATAGGCTCGCACCTCCGGCCGAAGCCTACGAAGAGAGACAGACTGCAAGAGAAAAGAATATTTTATGGCCAAAGGGTTGACACCTTTGGCAAAGTACACAATACATCCAGTCACACAACAGACACGCACACACACAAACACACATTCTCACTTTCTGGCCTATCACATGAGTAGGAGGAGTTAGAGCTAAAGTTGCTAAAGTGTTGCTACGGAATCATTTTTGCATCATGATCCTCACTTCTCAAAGACTTTCAGTTTTGGTTCAATCTCCTGAGATTTGACACTTGTTCTAACTTAAGGATCACAGTGGTATGAAGGAAAACATATCATATATTAGAAGACCACTACGATATGGATTAGCAAATTAATACAAAAGGGTGGTCAATCAATAAGTTAATGGCTTTGATTGCGTTTCTCTGGTCATCAAAGGTCATTAAATATTGAACGTTATACGAGTTTCCCAATGCTAGCCCATCTCAGCTATGTGTGCAAGCTAGCAGTCTGTGTATATGAGGGACATGGCAATAAACAAGCGATTTAAAAGAGTTTATAAACTTTCAAATCGTTGACGATGCATGAAAAGGTGTGGCATAGTTACTTCTACAGCTACCATCTCATGTTCTCGACTGTGTGAATGTACTAAAAGCTACATTACGGTGTAGAAATATTAAGTGTTGAAGCTATAAGTGATGTAAGGAGACAGACACAAAGCACCTACGTACAGATCGGGTGCCTTTGGTCGCGGTTAGCCTCCACCTGCGGCAGGAGAGCAACACATGGCCTAGGGTCACCACTAAAAACAGCCTATCACAGACAAGAGAATAGGCTAAAAGTAATAATGTACACGTCAACTATGGTGGAATATTAATGCCATGTGGGACTGGCTCACTGCGGACCAGAATGGAAGAGTTTTGTCGCACTTCTGCTTAGCAATTTTGGTTCCCAGAAAATATAAAATGGAAGAGAAGTTACGTGGTTTGGACACGGTAGCTTTAGGATGTTGAAGTTTAAAACATGCTAATATTTTTGTTCCAGAAAAGTATTTAAAGCCAATATTTACACATAAATATATATACCCAAACTGTGGCTCTTTTGACGATTGTTGTTTGGCTTCCAGGCAAATCTTAGTCTGCATTAATAGTGAGAATGGGTTTTATTTGGATTTCTTCAATATAAGAATTTGTACTAAAAGTCACAGGGTCTGGGAGCCGTACACAGTTTTTGTTGAAGTACGATGTACTAAACAGTCTAATTTTACATAATATGTCAGAGTATTGAGACTGTAGCAGCATTTTAAAATTGAGACTACAGCAATGTCCTTTTTACAACACAGGTTTTACTTATTCATTTTAATTGTGGAGCCAATAATACACAATATATTACAATTAGATTTTACATAATTGCAGTCTCTCGCACAAAGGGCCAGAGAGAATAATTATATCCCTATGTAGCCTGCACCTTTCCTAAATCATGTACAAATAGCTTAAAAAAATAGAATATACATGAATACCAAAAGAAATCAAGTTTTGAAGTCTAATTTTGGTTCATTCATTTAATTGAATCTTAAAACTTTTTAATCCATACTCAAGTAGATTCCACAAACACTGCAAATTATTCCCATGTGTTTCTTGGTGGTTCTGGCCAAGAGTACAGAGACATTTAGCTTCACTTCTGACGTCATGTTAGAGTCAAGAGAGATTTTGTACAGCTTTCAAAACAATCTCTTTGGATTTTATTACACTACAGTTACTACAGATGTATAAAGCCAGTCATTTTAACAGTTTTTTTCTGTGATTGATGTTAAACTTAACTGTATCCAAACACAAGACCTTAAAATCGATAAGCAGACGAGAGACACTCTTATCTGTCCACAGACGCAAGCGGCATTAATACAAACACACATTGGGTTGTTGGAACAAGTTAGCAATGTCTCCCATGCAAAGATAAACTTACAGTACAAGCATTACTACTGGTATTCATATTTTAAGTATTCACAGTAAAATTAAGCCAGTGGACTCAAGTCATTTATGACACAGAGCAAAAAACGGTCACGTGCCAAATGTAAAGCAAACACACAAACCGCAACACACAAGATTTCAACATAAGAGGAGGAGGTTGAGGAACGAGGGAGACTTACTGCTTTGCCTGCGCCCACCGAGCACAGGGTGGAGGAGTCTGGGGAGAAGGCGCTACAGTAGACCCAGTTCTGGTGGCCACGCAACACTTTTACCATGTTACCTGGAGATGCAGAGAAAAACAGTGTGAAAAAGTGTGTCCGGGTTCACAGTCCGGGTTCACAGTCCGGGTTCACAGTCCGGGTTCACAGTCCGGGTTCACAGTCCGGGTTCACAGTCCGGGTTCACAGTCCGGGTTCACAGTCCGGGTTCACAGTCCGGGTTCACAGTCCGGGTTCACAGTCCGGGTTCACAGTCCGTATAGAGTTGTGCAATTGTCCTTTGGGATCGATAAAGTTTTTTGAATCTGAAGAAATGTGATTAATGAATGAGGAAGTCTTAAGACAAATGTATAATTATTAATATAATCACGAATCGCAACATATGGCAGAATTTAAATACTTTCTGTATCGCAACGTCAAGAATCGCAATAATATCACGATATTTAGGCCACAATTCAATATTATAGAAAATCACAATTCCCAGCTGTAGCAGAGATCGCAGCCTGATCTGGCAATACCTATACTTGAGTATATACTTTTCCCAGTTCACACATGGATTTGGCACACCTGCACCAGAGTTAATCTCACATAAGCCGTACAGCATTATTGGGAAACCGTGGGAAAAGTGTTTGTCTTCATTCAAGATTCAGTTTTATTTTTAGATCCACAAAACGAGAGAAACAAGAACAGAACACTATCTAGACCAGGGGTGCTCAATACGTCGATCGCGATCTACCAGTCGATCGCAAAGGTAGTATTGGTAGATCGCATTAAATAAATAAAAAATTACACATTCTAAAACGAATATATACAAAAAACTCCGGGCAAAGTGGAGATTTTTGAAAACTCCGTTAATGCATTTGTGTGTAGACAGAGATAACCAGAGTTTTGCGTTCTCGCACGCCACAGTACCCCCCTAAATTCCTCTGATCACTGAAGCATGGATCATACTACCTTAAAAACTGTTCGCTGTGAGATGCTCGCAGCAGCGAACATCCTCTACATCAGAGAGCAGCAAAGTGATCGCAGGGACTCACGCTCGAAAACAACCAAACCAGGACTAAACCAGGACTAAACCAGGGCTGAGGACAGGGTCAGTGCTTGTAAACATACGTCTTACTCTTTACTCTGAGTGTCTTCTATGACTGTAAAAGTGTAAATATATTTCAAAAATATTTTTTGAAATATATGATTTGCATTTTTGTAGTAGGTAGATCATTTTGACTTTGATCCTTTTATAAGTAGCTCGCATGCTGAAAAAGTGTGAGCACCCCTGATCTAGACCTATTCTTATTGAAGCTAAATGTACCAAGTAAATGTATCAATGACTTCAAGACTTTTATCCCTGCCTCCTTTTCTCCTCCACATTGTGCAGCTAGCAGACCGTCGCTTTCACACCCAGATCTTGTTTCAGTTCAAAAAACAACATAAGAAGCTGATTTCTCTCCGACACGTGAGCGCTACGGGCGGGATGTAGGTCACGGTTAATGGCCGGTTCCACATACAGCTGCCTGGGCCCCTCGCCAAATTGTTTCCAGTCAGATGCAGCCAAGAAACCGCTGCCTAATATCGATTAGGTTTTTGAGTTAATGTAGGAGAGCAGATGGTGGATCCAGCACTGGGGAAGATTGAGGCTTTAAAAGATACATTTATTAATTATGGAAAGTGTTCCGCGTTTCTCATCCAAATATGGCTCCTGATGCGTTTGTTATTACTGTATTTCCTGTGTGTTTACAAAGTTGTCAATTCACCAACAACAGATCAGAGAATCATAGTTTGCCGAGATGACTACTGTTGTGATTTAGGACTATACAAAAAAAGTTGAATTGGACAAACCAACCATTACCCTCTCTTAAAACTAAACTATTGCCCCTAAATTAGTTTCTTTACAAATCACAACCAAAACAAGTTTAACTCCTCCCTCTGGTGGCAGCATAGGGAGTTACAGCCCGAAAGCATTTTTTTCACCCGTCGTGCTCAAGTAACATTATTGGATAGTGTAAATCATGACATGACAAAGTAAATAGTCTCATTATAATTTGTGGTCAAGCAAAAAGCATAATGTCTCCTTTAAAACAAGAGCCAGTGGGAAATAAGATTTGTAATTCATTTAGAGTTCCAGACTATCACTTCAAACTGCTTAAGAATTGTATTAAATTGACCTCATGGCCTTAAATACTGATATAAAAATAAGTCATTTTATGAATTCTAACCAATCAGCCTCAGCGCTGTTAATCATCGGCGCAGAAGCTCGTAGCTGCGCGCATGCTCAGTTGTTTTCACGGAGCCTCCGAATCAAGCCGTTATAGGCTCTGGAACTTCATGAAAACTGAACAAAAAAATTCTGAACATCTTTGCTGAGTGACCCATTTATGTACTGAACCTATATCCATAAACCAGATCGCTTTTTTTGTGCATTGAATGGGCCTCATTCACGAACGGTTCTTAAGAACAAATTTGTGCGTAAATCCTACTTACAAGGATTTTACGAAGATTGTGGCATTCATGAAATACTCGTAACCAGAATTTCTCTTGGCTAAGTACAAATCCTACGAGTGCTCAGGAGCACTCTTAAGCACATCCAGTGCCGAAATGTTCGCACGCTGGTGTTCAATAAAACAACATTACAGAGATATTTGTCATAGGATGTATGTATTTATTTCATTGTTTATAGTAATTTAGCCTATTTTTTAATTCATTTTAAAATAAATATGCCAACGCTTTATCAAATACATTGGAAATCATGCCGTGTATTAGTGACCCCATCCTATTTATAGGGGGCATTTATTTATCCACGGGCCACAGAACAATGGCATATATACTGCTGCTGCAGGAGGTTGCGGGGTCCGCGCTGAGTCTCTCCTGTGGATCTATTACAGGACCGCGCTGGTCTCTCCAGTCTATGGTCTATGCGGTCTCTCCTCGGCCCGCGCTGGTTTCTGTGTGCTGGTCTCTCCAGTCTCAGCGCTATAGTCTGCCCTGGATCTCCTCTCAGGGTCCAAAATATTTTTAGATTAATCATGACATTTTGAGATTCATTTTTAAATTAATACACAATTTTTAAATTAATCTCATAACATTTTGAGATTAATCTAATAATTTTGCTAGTTTGACTTTATTCTCATAATATTTCGACTTTAAAGTCAAAATTTTATGACTTTATTCTCAGTCGGACAAAAGAAAAAAGGGTGACTCTTTTGCTCCGTGTAACTCTTTGCTTTAGGCCTTTTGCTGTTTCCTCTGGCGTCTGCACACGGCCCTGCAGTCCCTTATATGGGCATGAATGGGCGGTTACCTATGCTAAGTACCTATGCTAATGAAGCACCTGGCACGCGCGCTCTACTTACGAGGAGTTGGCATTCATCAATCTGAGAAAACAGCTGCGAACAATTCAGCGGCTTAAGAGTGCGCTGATGAATCCCATGTAGGGTCCTTCTTAAGAACGACTTGAAGAAATTTAAGTTTCTTAAGTAGATTTCTAAGAAGATATTCGTGAATGAGGCCCATTATTTTTGTCATGAAAACATTAATAAATTCTGAAAACCTCCGTGCATGTGTATTAATAATTTATATGTATAATGTGTTCTCATTAACATTTAAATGTGTTTCGGAAAGGAAGGGGGAGGAGCTTGGGTCGTTTTTTTTCAAATCATGTACCTCTCTTTTTTCTGATAAACTCCAGACAATCACTTTAAGCTTATTCCCACTTCTTATTTGAGATAATCTAATCTAAATCCTTGAGGCTTGTTATCATTTGTTTAATTATTCTCCTCAAAATCTTACTGGTTAAAAGCCAAAAGGGAGGAAACATTTTAAATATATTATTGTTGGAGAATACTATAATATTATGGGGAATCTATGAGCTTTTAACACACCGACTCCCAGAAATCAGAAACTATTAGAACTCCCAGAGCCGTCATTTTGACTGCTCTAACTCAAACTCAAACCAATTGAATTCTGAGAAATTCCCGAGTGGTTCACCAGATTCATTAAAAGTAAGAAATGTATAAGTTTTTTTTTTTCACTTTTACTCACTTAGTGTTAAAACTGAAAAACAGCAAAAAAGGCTGAACAATATGTAGCAATGGTATCCAGCATTTAATGCAATTAAATTATGAAAAAATTATATTTATTTATAGAGATATAAATAATAATATATAATAATATATATAATATTTATTATAATAATATAATAAAGTTAATTATGAGACCATACAAGATGAGGAAATACATCTGACAAAACTGAAAGCCGTCAAATTGACTGCTCTGGGAGTTCTAGTATTTAATGCCGGTTTTGTGCTAGTATATTTCCTCCACCATCACTGGTTCCAAAGTGTTATAAATTACCAACTAAGACCTGATTCAGACCTGGTTTAAAGCTGGAAAAAACCCGTTCACTTGGTCCTAAAGTCTATACACGAACCAGTCCTAGTCCAGTTAAACCAGAGCCTTGTGACCGGTCCTGGACCTGGTTTTCCTCTGGTTCAGGTGGTTCTTACCGTCGTCCTTGAGGTCCCAGACTCTGAGCGTTTTGTCTCGAGACGCAGACACCAGCATGAGGCTCCCATCGGGGGCAAACGTCAAGTCACGGACCACATCAGTGTGATCCATCAGGTTCAACAACAGTTTTCCTGCAAAACAAGAAAATTACATAATGTTTAGAACAGCTATGGACGAGGATATAACTATAGCTTTACTGAAATGATTAGAAAAAATGAAAATCCACTCATGATAAAAGTATCAGTAGTGACCATTACATAACAAAGCCAAAACTCCCTTCCCCTTTAATCCTGGAATAGACTGCATTAATAAATAACCACGGCGAGGCTAAACTCTGACAGCTGTTATATAAGAGTCCAGCCAACATTTGCAACACTTTAATTCTGCCAAAACGCATCACGTAACATTATTATCCAACAACAAGTTAATATTTCAACCACAGCTGGTTCTTTTCCATTTGGTTCACTGCCCGAACAGACCGGCTGCAGCCTCTTACTTCATGAACAAATCTGGATTCAATTGGGTTTTTGTGTACAAGTTTTATTATTTCCATGCCAATTCAATATCGGCAATCCTAATTCCACATTCAAGACTGAGAATCCAATTAGATTCACATTTTATTGATCGAAAAGCCTTAAAGAGTCTACTAATTTACCATCAGAGTGATCATTTAGGGATTGGGATCGTATATATTACTGTTTAGTGTTCTATGTCTTTCTGCATTTTCAATGTAGCAACAATCCAGGCCCTGTATCCATAAATCTAGTTTTAATATAGTCTCATCTGTAGGTAAAAATAAAGAAAATTTCAACAAGAAAATTCTACCAATACAAGACTGGGCGACTTTCATTTCAAATCAGTCTGAAGCTTTGACCATAGTGCAAAAACCACTTCCTGGATCATTACGATACCACCATATTAGGAATAATGATGTAAAAAATATTTAAAGACAAAAATTATCATAGGGGTTAAGTTCTAAAAAAAAAAAAACCATCCAATCTAATCCACTTTATTTGAATAGCACATTTCATAAACAGTTTCCAAAGTGCTGCACAATAGAATACCAATTATAACAAATCCATACTAAAACAGTAAAATAATTTAAAATCAAATTTGAAAAGCCATGTGTGCATATATGTATAAATATAAAAACAATAAAATAAAATAAATAAAATTAACATAAAATAAAAGGACCATACAACTCGCGCTGTGTTAAAAGCCAAAGCATCAAAATGGGTCTTAAGACGAGACTTAAAACACTTTAATATGGAGGGGCAGAGCGTTCCACAGCTTTGGCCCAAATACAGAGAAGGCCCCGTCACCCCGGGTTTTAAGTCTCATCCTAGGTACCACAAGCTGGAACAGGCCCTCGGACCTCAGCGCATGGGGCGGATGGTAAATAACCCGTAATGAGAGAAAGTAGTAGCTCAAAGTTCATCGGGTCTGTCCAATGTAACTGTAGCTTGTATTTCACGCCCTTCGCATTATGACAAGTTACTGAAATTCGTCTAAAGAGCCACAAATGTCAAAAGGTTGTTCATGTATAATATCTCATTGTAACAAAAGAAAACAAAGATTAAAAACATAAAATATTTTGCTGCTCCATTTATCTTTGACAAAAAAGGGAAAAACGTCAATTTTTTTGTATTGGCCTGAACTGGGAAACTTTGAGGTTAGATTAGAAATACATGAGAGTAAGTCCAATGTTTTTAAGTATTGGCGTAAGAACAACTAAGTACAAATGGTCTCAGTTCTGTGCCACTCTGAAGTCCTTCTCGGCTGCGATGGGTTATTTTAGTGGGCAGTACGAATGTGAGGAATGTGGAACTAGTCTATCAGTGACTTCAGAACATAACAATTTCACATAATGATGGGGAAAAGTACTCTGGGGGGCCCTCTTCCTGAATCTACAGTTTTGCATTTATAAACACTCAGACTTAACATGGGGAGGAGAGAAAACAGAAAATCATCATCATAATCTTAGTCTGAGTATTAGTCATATAGCTAATTGTAAAATGGAGTGGGAAATAAGTAAAAACCTCCATAACGCTAGAGTAGAAATTGCTTTTGCTTCTTTGGAAACTCTGTTGCGATTCAACAATGCAATCCTGTGTGCAGAAGGCTCATCAATCATCAACACACACACACACACACACCCGCCATCTTCCCTCCGGATTCTTCCACGTACACAGGGCGACACCCAATCTCTCAAAGTTTTTGCACATGGTTTAAAAGAGGTCCGTCATAGAAACAGCTCGAGTGAGAGAAAGAATTCTGAGAGTATGCAAATAGTTTGACGTCTATTTTCTGCATACCCCCAGCAGCTCTGCGAGTCACTGTTTGAGACTTTGGGCTGAGAGCCGCTGGGATCTCCGTCATCTCTGTCACTCATCCAAAGATGTGATAAAAGTTAGATAAAAATAACTTTATGTGAAAACTAGTAATAGAACCAGTTTTGAGGTCTCTCCCACACAACAACAGCAGCAGATAGTTCTACATAATGAATCAGGAATGAAACCATAAGCGGTCTCTCTCGCCCTCTCTGTGGCGTCTCTCTCTCGTCTCTCTCTCCCCCCTCTCCGGTGCTTATTCGAGCCAATCCTTCCCTACACCATATTCAACATGCCACACATACAAAACAAGTTGTATACACAAGTCTAACAAAAAAATAAATCACCAGTAAGTGTAACAGTATTACCCACACAACAACAGTAGATACTAAAACAATTTAAAACAGAAACAAAAGCAGTAACCATGGACTCACCAGTGTAGACGTCCCATATCTTGATGCGTCCGTTGTTGAGGCCGGTGGCGAGCAGCAGCTGGTCCTGTCCGAACTTGAAGCGGTGCCATCCTATGTTGACGCAGCGGCTCTGCTTCTCCGGGACAGAGGATCCGAAGGCCAGGCCCCACACGATGTCCCCGCAGTCTATGGTTTGCTCCCGGGGCTCGTTCAGAGGGACCAGAGCCTCACTGCTGTTCTGCCGCGAGAGACGTCTGGGGCCGGCGGCGTCTGTGCCCTCTCCACACTGACCCAAAGAACTGCCGAGACAGGAGCGGGAAGGTTTTTAATACACATTGTAGTACTGTAGGCAAGGCACGGACAACACTAGTTAAAGTGCAGTAAGCGATGTCGTTCGCTTAGTCGTAGCACCAACTCCAAACCACTCCCTCCTCCCCTCCACCAAACCAGACATCCAGCCTTTTCTTTGTCACAACAGGGAGAGTGGGTGGCAAAAGTGAAATTGGTATTTTCTGTTCAGCTATTTTAGGTTTTAGAAAATCCGATTACTCCGGTGCACTCGCGAGAAACAGGAAGAGGGTGAAGGGGGTAAACGCATCCCATTGGTTCGTTGGGGATGAACAAATGGTTTATTTATCAGTCTGCACCTAAATATTTGTTATTAATTTTTGGAGACAACCGGCATCTGGTCAATCATTTGAAAACACATAACTTGACTACTAATTTTTAATATCTTAAAAAATAATCACTGACTGCATCTTTAAAGCTGGAGCACCACACTTTATAAACAACATTTACTCAAATCTAAATCTAAAGCTAAAATTCCAACGAACCAGTTCCCTTCTCTTGCATACATTTCTGGCCTCACATCTTCAGGTCATTTTTTTGTATCCTGAACTCAATCTAAGCAATATTTCCACCTGTATGTGAAAAGCCAAATCCTGACAGACCTCTGAAGCTAAGCAGGGCAGGGCCTGGTTAGTACTGTGACAGGAGACCTCTGAGAACATCAGGTGCCAATATTGTTTTTCACTAGTTTGAGAGAAAATTAGTGTTACATAATGAGTTTACAGTCAGTCCGTGGGGGTTTATTTGGAGTTGGTTTCTGGCCGAAGCAGGAGGGCCTAAGGACAGTGATGATCCGGGACATTTATTAACTTGTATTTCTATTATAATCACTGCTACAGCTCACACCTTATACTTTAAAAAGAGTTTAATTCTGTAACTGCATTGTGTTTTGTCCCTTCCATTGTTTGGATGTGATGTAATGCAGTCTGTTCAGTGTGAAAATTGGAACTACCAGCACTACCACCACACTGAAATATGAAATCCTCCGACAAATACCAGTGTTTTGACAGAAGCAAACCGGTTTTGACATACTATACTAGTCCCTGTAATCTAAATAATTACGCAGAGATACAATCCTTGTACTTGCTTCTCACATGCAAACTCAAAGTCTATTTCAAGACTGTTCCAGGACTGAATACAGTGTCTTCATTCTTGCAAATCGCACCTATTTTCTCAGAATGTATCCTTGATTCCATAGCCAACAATTAAGGTTACTTTATTGACAAAGCAACAATGGGAAAAGAAGAATAATTGTATCATAATAATTCAGATAATATTGTGAGAATAGAGTAATCTGGATATAGGTACTCATGTACATATTCACAGATTTGAATTACTATTTGCAGAATAAAATAGAGATAATAGGATAGTACACATATGTAGATCGCTGGATTAAACATTGACATTGCTACTTTCCCTAGTAACAACGCATGCATATTTTCCTCCCGTTTCGAGGCAGCCACAAGGCAAAACATTGCAGAAAGCTCATAAAAACGTCTTTACGACCTTGGAAGTTAACTCAGGGCGCTCTAGAAGCTTCCAAAAATGCCTTTGAGTTTACACAACACTGCTTTAGTCATAGTCAACATTTAGCAGTCGCCACATAGTCCTTCACCATCGCAGTTTTACAGCACTGGGTAACTTTCCATGAGCTGAACCGCTGAGGAAGAAGAATGTTGTCAAGAGAAATATCAATGATAATATTATGAGTGTGTGATGACAATCTGACAAAAGAAACTCAGCTATGAACAACAAAAGCAAACACTGAGATCCGCCTATTCAAACAAACACGCAATTTTAATTTTGGGCTGGTGTCCAGTTAATAAGATTTCACTTAAGAACAGATAGACCTCTGACTGGATGGTATAAGGACAATTTTTAAATGATACTTTGAAGACAATATCCAGCCAAAAAGGTGGCATTATTGCACAAAATGCTTCTAAAAGTCTTGGTTGAGGTTCAAGTTTTGCCCTAAAATGTAAAACAAACTATGAAAATTGCAGGAAATATAACTATCTGTCATATGGAGGCGAAATATTACTGTTTTTCATCATACAAGAAACTGTATTAAGCCTTAGGCCTCTGGGACTTTGAGGAGCACAGGGACTGGCCTCCTGCTGGTGCCCAGAGTCAGGACTTGGGCAGAGTTTCAAGATTTAAGCAGTCTTCCTGGAAATGTGAGACAGGCATCTTCTCTGACAATGTTCAAATCCAGGTTAAAACAGTTCCGTTTCGCTGAAACAACTGAAGGATTGTACCTTCACTCTTTTGAATGTACTGTGATTGTTTATGATTTTAATGCCTTGTGCAATTTCTTCTCTTGTTGTGTTAAGCACTTAAGAGTTACTTTGTGTATGAACTGTGCTATACAAAAACACTTGCCTCCTGTACTTGGTAAGCTGTAGCCTTACTTCACATGCTAAAACAAGTACAGTATATGGGGATTAAAATGTGTCAACAGCGGCACAAAAACAGGTTTTAATATCTGTAATTATGTTTTGGGCGATGTCCAAATATTCCAATGCATGACGTGAATACAGTGTGATCACCTTTATGTAGTCCATTACCAAGTAATTGAACACACCCAATATGTTTGTGGGAGCACAAAAGCTGTGGTCTTCAGTCAATGTGGCGCCTGTTCCATTTAGCTCCATTAGCTCAGTTTTATACATCGTCAAACTCTGCAAGATGTTCGTAAACACATTATATAACACTAAAGTCTTGTGATTTTCCCTCAAACTGGTGGAAAACTCGAGTTATTAAAAAACCGCACAAAGAACTGTAACATGGAGATGGTCTTGTGATCGATGAGTCCCTGTTGTATTGTTAAACTGTTTACTTGAACTTTGAATAGTTTCCAATTGATTTCAATCCCAACGCAAAAGGACTGAGGGAGTTTTGAACGGAAAACCCATAAAAACTGGTTACAGGCTTTTTATCTTGCAGAAGCTAAAAAAGTATTTTTTCATTTTTCTACTTTTAGCAGAGTCAAATTAGTCACAATTTTTCTATGAAGCCCTTTAATTCTTACCTAGTATTCCTATATACATTTAAGTTTTCTATTGTGGGAGAGGAAATACAGATAAAATTAGTATCTCAATGCATTTTTCACAAGTAGTTTTGTGATCATCGTAATCAACCAAACCATTCAAGTTTTGCTAAAATGTGTTGAGGCTCAGGATTCATATTAAAGTGATTGTCTGGAGTTTGTCAGAAAGAGAGACAGAGAGGGACTTGATTTGAGAAAAAAAATAAACGACCCAAGCTCCCTCCCCCTTCCTTTCTGATTGGTCTACACCTACGTTTCCGTAACACTTTTAAATGTTAATCAGAGAACACATTATACATATACATTATTAATACACATGCACGAAGGTTTTCAGAATTATTTGTGAACGTTTTAATGAAAAAAATAATGTTTTTATGCACACAAAAAAGCAACCGCGGCAAACCAGGAACAAGCCATTATCAGGAATTGCACATTATAGGACACATCTGCAGAGGATCTGATTATGGATACAGGTTCAGTATATACATAAGTAACTCAGCGCAGATGTTCAGAATTCTTTGTTCAGTTTTCATGTAGTTCCAGAGCCTAATAGAGGCTCCGTGAAAACAAACAACTGAGCATGCGCACAGCTACGAGCATCAGCGCCGATGATTGACAGCCCTTGGCATGACTCGATTGGTTAACCTCGACGGCACCGTGGATTCTGAACTATAGCTAAGAGAAGGGAAGGCGGGACTTGCCCGTATTAGAATAAATGTTGACATAAAATAAGTCATTTTATTTAAGGCCAGGAGGTCAATTTAACACATAAAATGTGTAATTCATTTAGAGTTAGACTATCACTTTAAGTCAAACTGACCACAAAAGTGCAGGAAACTGATTACATTTTGATTTGAGAGAGAAAATGTTTATTCGGAGAGTGAATTTCCATTTACATAGCCGTACAAATTTATCATGAGTAAATGGTAACAAAAATGTCAATCTAATTATATGAGAGACAAAACCAAACAGACCGATGATCGACCCCTGTGGGACCCCAAGTCAATTACTGTATATCAGCATGCAAGTTTATGGCAGCTTTCCTCTATATACATCTATATTTGCATTAAATAGTGTAAAAATTGCCCTTGTGTGATGGCATTTTTGTTAAATAAAAAAGGTTGAGGCTCCATCAAAAGTACTGTTTTTATAATTAATTTAATACCCTGGGCCTGCACTGTCTTCTACTATTCAGCCAATGAATCAGATCTTGAGTGGATTTGTCACTTACTTTCGCCTCATATTCACCCAACATTACTTTCCACATAAATGTTGTGGTTTGGATATGCCGAAAAAGTAGAAATATTCACTTTTGTCAATATGGCTAACCCTTACAGGACTTTTAACATAGATCTGTCGCAACTGAAATCAATGACTTTTATTCTACTTTTGCAATCACACCAAAAGTAACTGCAAAAACTACCACCTCGAAATATTCAACTCTGCTGAATAAAACCTGAAGCTACCAGTGAAGTCCCTTTTAGAATTATGGCTATACATTTGAATATATGCTATACTCACAAGTCAGTGAGGCATTTTGTCCAAGGCACGAGCTTGACAATTCGATGCCCCTGAGACCAAGCGAAGTAGGAACCATTGGGAGCGAAGGCCACAGTCCACGCCTCACGCCCAGACTTCGGGTCGAAGGGAGCAACCGGCACCAGCAGTTCACCGATGAACTTGGCCTTACCTGCAAGATAGCGAGAGAGAGTCAGGATGTGAGAAAACTAGTGTTAGCAGAGAAAACATGAAGGCAATTTTTGATTTTTATAAAAGACAAACTTCTGGAGGACACAAAAAAGTACCCATACATTAAAAGCAGCTTTTTCTGATCAGGATACTTTGTATTTGCACTGAAAAAACAGGTGCCATCTTTGCTTAAATCTGAGCTACATTATTACAAACATTGGCTCAATGGTGTCATTATTCTCATCAATCATGCAGGTAACTACAAAACAACTTTATACGAGTAAAAAGTTCAAACTTAGAACATTTTAGATCAGAGAGCTACTTTTATACAACAGAAGTGGCAGATAGTTACATGGTAGAGACCCCTTTTATAGCCAGTAAACAGTTATCAAACGCAGGTGAAATATGGAAAATTAGGTTATTTGTTCTAAAGTTTATTCAATTTTGAGACCAGTATATGATATAAGTGACATATGCGAAGACTTTGATATAATTTGCTGTTACAATGGCTTACCTCTTCAAAATATTGTACATTTTATGATAAGATTTGGCAATGTAAATTTCTCCTTTGTGAGATAAATAAAGCATATCTTATAAATAGTATCACTCCACTTGTGCAAAAGACAGAAAATGTTGAAAAGTGAAAAAAGGCTCTTTTTTACAAGATATATCATGTATAATTGATATTTTATTTGGAGTCTTTACAAGCTGTGAGCCAATTATTTTATAAAAACAAGGCTCGATTTAGCTCACTTTACGTGTACGTTTCAGCTGTATCAATCAGAATGTCAGTTTAGAGCAAGACCAAAAAGACAGAGGCACAATATTAAAAAGGGTTATTAATCTATTATCAGGGTTCTCTCCAGATTTTCTAATGCAGGTCTAAGAACAGTGATGATTCAAGACATATCTGGGCAGTCATCCCGTTCACTATCGACCAAAGGCTCCCATGTATTTGAATGAAAGAAATACATTGTTTTATTCACTGATCTGTTGTTGAACCTTTGTAAAGTCCTCAGAGACTACTGTTGTGTGATGTATACATGCACTACTATAAAACATAGATCTTCATTCTGTTTTAAGTAGGTCTACTTGGCAGAAGAGTAGGGCGTGGCATGCTCAGAAAGTATACATTGGTGTGGCTGAACAAATATGTAAAGCAAGACGATGTGTTTTTGAAGCTGGGATTGAACTGAAGCTGCACCTATGAAGCCTGATCTGGGGCCTGATGTTTTCCCCAGGCTTAAGTAATCCAAAGAGGGTCATTTTGACTGCTGCTGTCGTCACTCACTCATTCATTAAACACAGTGGCCTACAGACCGTGTTGCGTCCTGATTGGCTGGCAATGGCAACTCTTGGCATAACAAGTTCAACTGTAAATGTGATCCGGCTCTCGGTAGTAAACATTACAATAGAAGGTGTTAGTCATGTCTGATAAGAACATTGGGCCTCATTCACGAATAACTTCGTAAGAAACTACTCAACTTTCTTCTCAAGTCGTCCTTAAGTAGATTTCTAAGAAGTCCCCACGTGGGATTCATCAACGCACTCGTAAGCCGCTGAATTGTTCGCAGCTGTTCTCTTAGATTGATGAATCCCATTTCCTCGTAAGTACAGCGCGCGTGCCAGGTGCTTCATTAGCATAGGTACTTAGCATAAGTAACCGCCCACTAATGCCCATATAAGGGACTGCAGGGCCGTGTGCAGACTGCCTAACAGGCCTAAAGCAAAGAGTTACACAGAGCAAAAGAGTCACCCTTTTTTCTTCTTTTACCAGACTGAGAATAAAGTTATAAAATGTTGACTTAAAAGTCGAAATATTATGATAATAAAGTCAAACTAGCTTCGAACTAGATTAATCTAAGAATATGATGAGATTAATCTCAAAATGTTATGAGCTTAATTTAAAAATATATTATGTATTATTTTAAAGATGAATCTCAAAATGTTTTGAGATTAATCTCAAAATATTTTGGACCCTGGGAGGAGATCCAGCACGGACCAGCGCTGAGACCAATGCAGACCCGAGGAGAGACTGGAGTGACCAGCACACAGAAACCAGCGCGGACAGGAGAGACTGCATAGACTGGAGTGACCTGACTGGAGAGACCGGTGCGCAGAGACCAGCGCGGACCGAAGATAGACCGCATAGACCAGACTTGAGAGACCAGCGCGGACCCGTATGGAGAGAGACCAGTGCAGACCCGTATATGGGAGAGACCAGTGCAGACCAGTCTAGATCCATGGGAGAGACCAGTGCAGACCAGTATAGATCCATGGGAGAAACCAGTGCAGACCAGTATAGATCCATGGGAGAGACCAGTGCAGACCCGTATATGGGAGAGACCAGTGCAGACCCGTCTAGATCCATGGCAGAGACCAGTGCAGACCCGTTTAGATCCATGGGAGAGACCAGTGCAGACCCGTATATGGGAGAGACCAGTGCAGACCCGTATAGATCCATGGGAGAGACTAGTGCAGACCCGTATAGATCCATGGGAGAGACCAGTGCAGACCCGTATAGATCCATAGGAGAGACCAGCGCAGAGACTCAGCGCGGACCCAGTAACCTCCTGCAGCAGCAGTATATATGCCGTTGTTCTGTGGCCCGTGGATAAAGAAATGCCCCCTATAAATAGGAAGGGGTCACTAATACACGGCAAGATTTCCAATGTATTTGATAAAGCGTTGGCACATTTCATTTCAAAATGAATTAAAAAGTAGGCCAGATCTGCAGTGAAAAAGGCGGTATATAAATAAAGATTACTAATAAAGATTACTACAAATAAATAAATACATACATCGATATGACGGACATATCACTGGAATGTTGTATTTTTATTAAACTTCACCAAAGAGGACAACCCCGGCGTGTGAACATGTCGGCACTGAATGCGTACGAGTGCTCCTGAGGACTCGTAGGATTTGTACTTGCCCAAGAGAAATTCTGGTTACGAGAAATATTCGTGAATGCCACTTTCTTCGTAAAAACCGCGTAAGTAGGATTTACGTACAAATCTGTTCCTAAGAACCGTTTGTGAATGAGGCCCATTGTTTTTTTCCGGTTTCTAAATATGTTGTAATGTAGATTCCAGATGTTTCTGTGGCATCCGAGTAAAATATTGGGATACTTTCAATTCAATGCATATTTGTATGGCACAAAATACAACAGCAATCGCCTCTGAGAACTTGCCGAGTCACCAACAACAGATCAGAGAATCAAACAGTTTAAACACAGGAAGCGCAATATTAACAACAAACACAAAAAGAGCTATTGGTTCATAGGGAGCTCGATGACCAAAGTCCATAAATGTTAATATTTGTCATTTAATTTACTGGATCATCACTGTCCTTAGACCCTCCTGCATCGACAGGGAACCACTCAAAAAACAAAAATAAGTGAGGATGACCTCATTGAGAGAGGAATTGGCTCTCACTGACAGGCCATAGATGCATGAATCAGGCTGCAGAACGAGGACCGATAAAAAAAGGTAGATTCCACCAGCGCATTTTGGCATTTACAGAAATAATATTATGCACTGTTAGGCTCTTGGGCATTTTGCAACGAAATTATATGTCAATGTTTTCAGTGGGCAAGTTGATTAAACAAAAAATAAAGCCAAATTAAAAAGACCTAAAGCCTTTTTGGTTCTGTTCCAAAATGCAGATAGAATGAAGTCATAAATCTTAAACGCATTCTTTACTGCTATCACTAACAAACAAGACTGGGCTTGTCCCTGCGCACACAGCTCATTGGTTGGCGCCAGTGGGAGGACAAATTGAAAGTTGATGATTGTCAGAAAACATGAAAAGCATTGGCAACAACATCAGTGGGATGGGAGGAAGAGCAGATGGCACGGACTGGCAGCCTCACTACTGTAACCACTGTGAAAGAATAATTAACTTATTTTGAGAGAAATTATACTTTTAAAAGTGCAAGGCAGTAAGATTATCTAAACTAGAGGGTGATGTAAAAATTAGGGTTTATTTTTTTATTGGCGACAGAACAAGAGTTTTAAGACTGAAAAACAACCTAAGGCACTCGAGATAGGCAACTAAAAAACCTTAAATGAGCCGTGACTGGTCCATGCAGATCAGTGTCACGCTATATTTATCTCATTAGAAAACACGTCATGCTTTGAATACTTTTAAGGGAGAGCCCTGTGAGTCACTACTTGACGATTTGGGCTGAGAGCTGATTGGCCGAGTTATGGTGGTCTTTGTCACTTTTCTGTCAGAGGACAAATGCATGTGAAAACTAGTGATAGAAGCAAAATGTTGAACTAGCTACAAGGATTACATTACTGTTTGAAAAATAGGTATCCCAGCTTTAAGTGACAACACGTTTTCTTAATTGCTGATACTTTCAATTCTAAAATTAAGGTCAGTGACGGCTCCAACTATGCGATGACACAATAGAATACAGCCAAAATGCATAGTGCAGTTTCCCAATTTAGATTAGCCATGCCTTTAATCATTTGTCCAAAAAAATTAATAATTGTCATGCCAGCCAATAAAGGTAATAATTAATACTGTTTAAATTGCGTTTACTACGTGCCATTTTTCACGTCAGCTCTCCACCGCAGAAGTGAATCACCTCACAATGGGGGAGGGGCCATGTTTTAGTTTAGTAAAAGAAAAAAAAGAAAAAAACACCACAATTATCACTCCCAATAATCACATCACAACATTAACACGTGCACCTTCATTTACCAGCGATAAAACGTCAATCCATAAGAGATTAAACCCGAAAATTTGACCAAAAAAGGGGGAAAACATTAACAGTAGGAAGCCTGCCAAGAGCCCTGAGGCACCGGGAAACAACGAGACTACGTCAACATTCAAACACAATTTTCTTATTTTATTTTGTCAATACCGGCATGTTAATGTGTATTTTGTGTCTTTATCGAGCTAGGGAATGTTCTTGTACAATTTGATTAAATATAAATATTTTTAAATAACCAGCCATTTTTAACAACAAACATTAGAATAAATGTACCAAAATAAGAATAACATAGAAAATACACACAATTTCGTTTGCTTATAACGCAATCGTCTTTTATTCATACAATGCTAACGAGGTGCGGTGAATGTTAGCAAAGAGGAAAAAATGCGACTTCCAGACACGCTAGCGACGGAGCGGATAAAGGTACTAAAAATAGCCAAGAAACGTGTACTTACCTAAATCATTTTCGTTTACAGAGTCTGGGAAGCTTGCCATCTAAATAAGGACAGAGACCTAAGAGAAAAATGCAAGAACAAAAATGCCTAAAAACTAGGGTTGGTTTGAAAAGAAAACAATAGCTTTCTTTTAGCTAGCTACACAAATGCGTCACGTGGGTTGTAGCTCAAATCCTCGCTTTGTGAAGATGGTAGCAGTAGAAGTCCGTGTTTGTTTCTCGTTTCTGTGGTAAAAAAATGGCTTCGTTCGTGTGGAAATGAGCGAAAGACAGTGGATCGTCTTCGGATGGGTTCTTTTTAAAACCGGGAGGATGTGGGAGGAGCTGTCATACTACAGACTGCCTCCATGGATCTTTCCCTCATTCAGAAAGAAGGTCAAAAACTACTGCTGCTGACATCTAGTGGGAATAAAGAGCGCAAGATTAACGTGGAGCTGTTAAAACTATAAAAAAAAGAAAGATATTAGTCCAGTTCTCAGGTCTCTGCATCGGCTTACTGTGGCTCAGAGAATAGACATTAATGTAGTTGTTTGTCAGGGGTGTCAAACTCATTTTGGTCGGGGGCCAACCTAAAAAAAAAAAAAGAGCTTGGTGGGGCCAAAAGTCTAAAAGGTGGTTTACTTATATTAACCTTTTTTTTGACATGAGTTTACAGTCTATGGTTTGGATATTATTTTCTAGTATGATAATTTATGCCTTATATAAGATATGGGCAGTGATATGGTACTTTTTGCACTCTACAGTTGATTGATACTTTTGTTCATGTTTTGTATTAGAAGGCAGAAAGACATTGTAACACGGAAGCGCGAAAACACAATTTTGCATTTTTTTTAATAGGTTGAATGTACAGCCTACAGATGAAAAAAACCATTACATCTTGAGAAAACAGCTTATAGAAAAAAATCTTTATTGTATGTTGGCCTGAGTGACCTCTATTATAAAGACAGGAGTGTGTGAGCTACTGTACATCACTGGAAAAGGTAAGAAAGTGGATTTATTGGCAACTTTTTGACTGTGCTGCTACAATCCCCATAGAAGAGGTTGCACAGTGACATCAAACCCAGCTCCAGCCTGGTGTCCCACTATGAGATTTAGGCAGGAAATGCACGGAAACACAGTTCACATTTGATTTATATGTTTTTAGATTATTTTAGCAGACACAAACTTAGTCATTTTAGCTCTGTTTAAAGCTGGGGGACCAACATTTGAAAGAACAAGTACATAATAAAGTTTTCACATGCATCTATTTTTAACCTCGGTCATGGCTTTAGATGAGCTTACTGTGGCTCAGAGAATAGACATTAATGTAGTTGTTTGTCAGGGGTGTCAAACTCATTTTGGTCGGGGGCCAACCTAAAAAAAAAAAAGAGCTTGGTGGGGCCAAAAGTCTAAAAGGTGGTTTACTTATATTATCTTTTTTTTGACATGAGTTTACAGTCTATGGTTTGGATATTATTTTCTAGTATGTTTGGATTCAATCACAACTGGGTCAAAAATCCCAAAAAGATTGATATTGATTAAAATGAAGTATAACATGTCATACCTATTACCATCAATACTGCTAGTTACTGAAATAATGATAATTGAAAACCATTTCAGGGGCCACTGAAAATGGCTTTGTGGCCTGGATTTGACATGTCTGCTCCAGGGCCTTGCATTAAAGTACATCCGTGACATGTTAGTGCCATATGAACCGACTCTGAGGAGCACAGGGACTGGGCTCCTCCTGGGACTCAGAGGAGCACAATCTAAACATCCTGGTACTTCCTGAGATGTTTTTCAATAACACCTAATTCTAAAGAAGATTGGCATGTCATGTTTTAAGCTTACATGTCCTCTGTAGAAAATACATAAACATGAATTGATCTTTGGAATGAGCAACACTCCCATTATAGCCGTAAACCATTTCCTCTCGGGGGCGGTTGACAACAGGAACTAGTTCTATAACTTGTAAAATAATGCAACATACAAATGACATATTCAGGCATTGGAGACATGTTATAAAGACCATTTGACAGATTCTCAACATGAAGTTTGAAGCAATACTTGTTTAGTGCATACAACTGAAGGATTTTATCTTTACTCTTTTTAATTTCAATGTGCTTCAAAGGCACAAAAGATAAAAATAAAAGCAAACGGCCTAAGATACATACAAATACATGTAAAAAGTCAAACAAAATTGCCAAGGCATAAAAATGTCTTAGACTAGATTAAAAAACCTCCAACGAAGGACACTGTGCTGTGGTTATTCATGATTTTAATCCCTTATATGATTTTAATTTGTATGTTTTTATTATTCTTAATGTTTGTTTATAATGCTGTGTGTGATTTATTATACATTACGTGATAATTTATGCCTTATATAAGATATGGGCAGTGATATGGTACTTTTTGCACTCTACGGTTGATTGATACTTTTGTTCATGTTTTGTATTAGAAGGCAGAAAGACATTGTAACACGGAAGCGCGAAAACACAATTTTGCATTTTTTTTAATAGGTTGAATGTACAGCCTACAGATGAAAAAAACCATTACATCTTGAGAAAACAGCTTATAGAAAAAAATCTTTATTGTATGTTGGCCTGAGTGACCTCTATTATAAAGACAGGAGTGTGTGAGCTACTGTACATCACTGGAAAAGGTAAGAAAGTGGATTTATTGGCAACTTTTTGACTGTGCTGCTACAATCCCCATAGAAGAGGTTGCACAGTGACATCAAACCCAGCTCCAGCCTGGTGTCCCACTATGAGATTTAGGCAGGAAATGCACGGAAACACAGTTCACATTTGATTTATATGTTTTTAGATTATTTTAGCAGACACAAACTTAGTCATTTTAGCTCTGTTTAAAGCTGGGGGACCAACATTTGAAAGAACAAGTACATAATAAAGTTTTCACATGCATCTATTTTTAACCTCGGTCATGGCTTTAGATGAGCCAAAACCAAACAAGAGGAAAACTCAAGTAGACAAATAGTGACTAACGTGGATCTTTCTTACAAGTGTACAACATATAACATGTTTATAATCCCAGCTCCCAAGTGTTTGTTATTATCGCATTTACTGTGTTGGAATGGTTTGATTATCGGATCTGTTGTTCTCTGGTCTCTCTCGTTCTCTGGTCTCTCTCCCTCTCTGCTCACCTTCTCCCTCTCTGCTCACCTTCTCCCACTCCTCTCTCACTACTCACCCTCTCTCTCTGCTCATTCTCTCCCTTTTTGCTGGTCTCTTGCTCTCTCCCTCTCTGGTCTCTCTTTCTCTGTCTGGTCTCCTTCTCTCTGGTCTCTTTGTTAAAACCAGAACCAATGAAAGAACTTTCTAAAGTCCTCCGAGACGACTGCTGCTGTGATTTAGGGCCATACACAAATGCATTGAATTCAGCAAGATACAGCCAGAAAATGTTTACATTTATGAGGAGAAAACAGATTTTAAGAAACAAAAAAAGTTAGGTCCCCCAGCTTTAAAATGGGAGAACAACTTTGTATTGCATTTATTGTGTTTATTAACTACATTTATTTCTCTTTCTTTTAAGCTGTTTTGCAAGTGGGAAGAACGCTTACAACCCATCCATCCATCCATTTTCTACCCCTTAATCCCTTTCTGGGTCGGGGGGGCCACACTTACAGAGCTAAATATCCCAAAGCAAAACACCATGCCATTCCACAAAGCTACAATACCTGCCTCCATATCCAGACTAAACATACCAGTAATACTGTCTTTTCCTTTACAAACCATGAGCAGACTAATACAGAGATAATGTTTTGCTATATTCAAACAGGGGTCAGTCCATAAACGCTGAGTTCCATATTTGGCTGGTTTTTCTGGAGGTCGAAGCGGGAAAAAGTCTGAGTCCGTCTGGAGCTATTGGCAACGATGTGGTATGTACTCAAGAATCCATGTTTTAAATTGTCCACAAATGACGATTGGTAAAGAGGGAAGAGCTGTGTGTTTGGATGGAGGCTTATGACAAGGTTTTTGGGCGGAGATTTCATTGTAAATCTGCTTTTTGTTCCAATCACAAAACACATCAACAAAGACCTTGCATCCATGGGTCTAAGTATAGTGAGAGGTCAAAGATAACACTGTAAAACTAAATATTTTCAAGTCCACAAAATATGTTCTCATCTTAGAGTTGGGAAAAAGTAAAAACGCAGATTGACTGATCCCAAAAGGAAATAAAACGATACTTTTACTAAATGGCAGAGCAGTTACTGAATTAAGTTCTGCAAAATTCCACCAAAATGTTAAGTTTTCCATCAGTTTTTTTCAAAGTAACTTATTTTTAATGTTTTTACTTCACTCACTTTTAATAAGTGCTAAATCTTATGAATATAACTTGAAATACAGCAAAAACAGTTGAATGCTAACAAACTGCTAGCATGTAAAGAGTGTGTTGCTATGGTAACTAGCACTGGCTGTGCTCTGGTGGAAAGTCAAACTGAACCAGAACCAGTCCAAGACAAGTACAGGACCAGTCCAAGACAAGCAACCAAGGATAATTAGGAAAAAACTAAAAATGAATGTTTTGATTGTAAGAGCAGTCTTCAGTATCACTTAGAAACCCATGGATACATCACATTACTACTGGTGGGCAACGAGTATTATTTATATAATTCATCTCATGACGGTCAAAAACATTCAAATGTATAAGCCTATATATATATATAGAGAGAGAGAGATAGAGAGATAATGGCAGAAATACAGATTTTTGAAAACCCGATTTTGGATTTTCTATATTTACAAGGTTCATTGTTGTTTGTTTATTTGATTAAATTTAATAGGGTTTTCTTTTATTCACCGTGATCCATTTGTTCAATACCGCTTCAGATTGTGGATAAAAGCTTCTGTCTCAGAGCCACAAAAAGTAAAATAAAATTGCCGATAATTGCTCTCATTGCATTAACGCAAGAACAACCCAAAAATGACAACATAATAGTGCAATATTAATGCAATATAAATGCAATATTAGCGCATTACAGCCAAATGATTGCAATAAGGCAATAATTACATAAATATGAATGCAATAATAATCATAATAAGTACGCAATTATTACACAATATTTGCGCAATAATTATGCTTTTTTATGCAATATTTAAGCAATTATTACACAATATTGATGCAATTTAAACACAATATTAGAGCAATAATAATGAAATATTAACGGATTACCTTGCCCACCTTTAGTAATAGGGTTGAATCAAGTCACTTTCATAGGAGCCAGAATAACATTGGTTTAGATACTGAAATGGCAGGAGCAGGAAGCCTCACCTCTTCTTTCCATCTGCGTTTGTTGAAAGCGTCGATATAAAAGTCTGTTTTAAACATGTTCAAGTCACGTTTTATTCGTCCCATGTTTAAATCCTTAAATGATAATCATTCCTATGTAAAGCAAACCGAGCTAATGAGGTGGGAGTGATTGACAGCCCGGCAACAGCAAAGTCCCTCCCCTTTCCTGGATTTGTTGGTGGAGAAAGGATCCTGCGGTTGTGGGGTCGGTAACACTGAAACGGCAACACAACAATCTGAAAACAAAAAAAGAGTTAAAAGACCATCAGATAAATGTACTTTTAGAATTACTCATTAAAAAATTATTAGTAGAATGTGTGGCATATGGAGGAATAGTTCTTGTCTTAAAGCTGGGATAGTGTTAAGAAAAGGTAGGAATGTTGTTTGGACCTGTATTAGCGTTTCACCACAGGGAAGACAGCAGTGTGTCATAATAAAAAGGGTAAAAAAAAAAGAAAGGGAGCAGAGAGAGAGACCAGAGAGAGACCAGAGAGAGAGACCAGAGAGAGAGACCAGAGAGAGAAACCAGAGAGAAACCAGAGAGAGAAGCCAGAGAGAGACCAGAGACCACACAGAGAGACCAGAGAGAGAGACCAGAGAGAGAGACCAGAGAGAGAGACCAGAGAGAGAGACCAGAGAGAGAGACCAGACAGAGAGACCAGACAGAGAGACCAGACAGAGAGACCAGACAGAGAGACCAGACAGGGACCAGAGAGAGAAGCCAGAGAGAGACCAGAGAGAGACCAGAGAGAGAGAGAGACCAGAGAGAGAAGCCAGAGAGAGAAGCCAGAGAGAGACCAGACCAGAGAAGGACTTGGGTGTAGTTTTAAAAATTTTGTGAACTAACCAGACCACAACATGGTCAAAGTTAAAACAAATTTGAATACAAATTTCCGTCTCTCGCAGGTTTAAAGTTAGGAACCCCAGCTTTAATGTTGTTTTGTGCACTACAGAAGAGCAGTCATTAGAGGGAAGGAAAGGGTGGTTCAGCCGGAAACTATTACAGAACTTGAAAAAAACTCCAAGTTACAAAAACAAAACAACAAAACACGGACGAGGAACGTTTTATGAAGAATTTTCCAAACAGTAAAAATCTCCAGGTTTTTACCATGATTCAGGCTCAGCTCGAGGCTGCGGTTCTTCCTGAGTTGTAGCTCGTCTGGATGGAGCGCCCTCTTCTGGACAAAATAAACACATTCTAAAACAATAGAAAGACTGAAAAGGCAAGTTTGTTTGTATAGCAAAGTTATACATAAGGCACCTCAAAGTGCAGATAAAACAAGACAGAAAACAATAAGTTAAATCCTCTCGGTAGCAGTTGTATGTTTTAGGGCTGTAAAAGAGAGAGATACCACAGGGAGACCAGAGAGGGACCAGAGAGAGACAGACCAAATAGAGAGAGAGACCAGAGAGAAACCTGAAAGAGACCAAAGAGAGACCTGAGAGAGAGAGACCAGAGAGAGACCTGATAGAGACCTGATAGAGACCTGATAGAGACCTGATAGAGACCTGATAGAGACCTGATAGAGACCTGATAGAGACCTGATAGAGACCTGATAGAGACAGACCAGAGGAGAGACCAAACAGAGAGAGGCCAGAGAGAGATCAAAGAGAGACGCAAACAAAAAACTGCGAAACAGCAAGGCCTCAAAAGTTGAACCTCGACATAGCGAGGGACCACTGAGGTCTTAGAAGGAAACTATAAATTCAGTAGCCGCAATAAACTATATTACCCAATCCCTTTTCAGAACATGTACTGGTGGATTTGAGTATTTAATTTTCTGGAATAGACATTGATTAATAATAATGCATCCGTTTTATACAGCGCTTTTTTGGACACACAAAGACACCTTACAATTCATTATTTATTCACTCCATACACTGTAGGCATAAACTACTACTGTAGCCACAGCTTGGTAAATCCCGCTTCTTCCTGCTGTTGTATCAATATCGATGGAATAGAAAACTGAAGGTCTCTCTCACCACAAGGGTTGGCGTCTACATCGTCCAGAAGGTTGGCTGTAGAGTTGGCCGTGCCCAGTCTGAGGACAGCGGTTAAGTTTCAAAACTTCTCTAGTTTCAATAACCTCATATCATAATGTGTGGAAATGTTGCGTAGAGCTGTGGGACGACAATGGTAAAGGTATGCGTGTTGTTTGGACCCGTGTCGGTTACTCACCAGCGGGAAGATAGGAATGTAGCGCAGTGAAAAAAGGGGTAAAACAAACTTCATGCTTTAACCCTCTATGCACATGGGTCATTTTGGGGAACTTTCCTCGCCTGGTTTTCTTTGTGTATAATTGTTCATAAAACAGTCATCTTTTGATGCAGAGTCAAGCAGTATACTTTGTTTTTTTCAGTACAACCTGGGGGTTTAGAATATTCATATTGTAAAGCTGTCATATGAATTATATAAAAATTATGGAATCATGAAGACTAAGAAAAAAATCAAACGGAAAATCAATTTAACAAAAATGTATTGAAAAAACACAATGAAATGCTATAAACAACTTTTTACACTGCATAGAAATGTTATTTAGAAACTTGGGGAAAATAAATGAATCTCTAACTATTATACTTTTTACAAAAATCCACCTCCCCCCTGGACTGCCACCTTAACGTGGTGGGGGAGTTTGAGTACTCGGATGATCCTGGGAGCTATGCTGTCTGGGGCTTCATGCCCCTGGTAGGGCCTCCCATGGCAGACAGGTCTCAGGTGACGAGTCAGACAAAGAGCAGTCCAGAAGACACCATGGACAGCACTAACACGAAAACAGTGACGTCGCCCGGCATGGCGCAGCCGGGGCCCCACCCTGGAGCCAGGCCTGGGGTCGGGGCCCGTATGCAAGCGCCTGGTGGCCGGGCCTTAGCCCACGGGGCCCGGCCGGGCTCAGCCCGAAGGGATGACGTGGGCAGTCCCTCCTGTGGGCCCACCACCTGCAGAGGGGTCCGTGGTGGCGAGGTGCAGCGAGGACTGGGCAGCAGTCGAAGGCGGAGACCTCGGCGACCCAGTCCGCACACACAACATCTGGCTCTTGGGACGTGGAACGTCACCTCACTGGGGGGGAAGGAGCCCGAGCTCGTGGGGGAGGTTGAGCGATACCGACTAGAGATAGTCGGCCTCACCTCCACACACAGCTTGGGCTCTGGAACCCAACTCCTTGAGAGGGGTTGGACGCTCCACTTTTCTGGAGTTTCCCGCGGGGAGAGGCGGCGAGCTGGGGTGGCCATTCTCATTGCCCCCCATCTCAGCCGCCACGTGTTGGAGTTCTCCCCGGTGAATGAGAGGGTCGCGTCCCTCCGCCTCCGGGTGGGGGACGCGAAGTCTCTCACTGTTGTGACGGCCTACGGGCCTAACAGCAGTGTAGAGTACCCGGCCTTCTTGGAGTCCTTGGGAGGGGTACTGGACGGTGCACCGCCCGGGGACTCCGTTATTCTCCTGGGGGACTTCAACGCCCATGTGGGAAACGCCAGTGACACTTGGAGAGGGGTGATCGGGAAGAGCGGCCCCCCTGATCTGAACCCGAGCGGTGCTCAGTTGTTGGACTTCTGTGCCAGTCACGGTTTGTCCATCACGAACACCATGTTCGAGCACAAGGGTGTCCACCAGTGCACGTGGCACCAGGACACCCTAGGCCGGAGGTCGATGATCGACTTTGTTGTCGTATCATCTGACCTTCGACCGCGTGTCTCGGACACTCGGGTTAAGAGAGGGGCGGAGCTGTCAACCGATCATCACCTGGTCGTGAGTTGGATCCGCTGGCAGGGGAAGAAGCCGGTCAGACCTGGCAGACCCAAGCGTATAGTGAGGGTCTGCTGGGAACGTCTCGCTGAGCCCCCTGTCAGACGGACTTTCAACTCACACCTCCGGGAGAGCTTCTCCCAGGTCCCGGCGGAGGAGGGGGACATGGAGTCCGAGTGGACCATGTTCTCTGCCTCAATCGCCGATGCGGCGGCTCGTAGCTGTGGTCGCAAGGTCTCTGGTGCTGGTCCCGGCGGCAACCCCCGAACCCGGTGGTGGACACCGGCAGTAAGGGATGCTGTCAGGCTGAAGAAGGAGTCCTATCGAGCCATGATGGTTCGGGGGACTCCTGAGGCAGCTGTCCAGTACCGGCAGGCCAAGCGTGCCGCGGCCCGGGCTGTTGCAGAGGCAAAAACCCGGGACTGGGAGGAGTTCGGAGAGTCCATGGAGCATGACTATCGGTCGGCCTCGAAGAGATTCTGGCAAACCATCCGGTGCCTCAGGAGGGGGAAGCAGTTCTTTGCCAACACCATGTACGGTGCGGGTGGAGAGCTGCTGACCTCGACTGGGGATATTGTCGGGCGGTGGAAGGAATACTTTGAGGTTCTCCTCAATCCCCCCGTCACGTCCTCTGTTACAGAGGCAGAGGCTGAGGATGTTGGGGCGGGTACATCCATCTCCCTGGCTGAGGTCACCAAGGTGGTTGGTAGCCTCCATGGTGGCAAGGCTCCGGGTGTGGATGAGATCCGCCCTGATTATCTAAAGTCTCTGGATGTTGTAGGACTGTCTTGGCTGACACGTCTCTGCAACATCGCGTGGCGATCGGGGGCAGTGCCAATGGAGTGGCAGACCGGGGTGGTGGTCCCTCTCTACAAGAAGGGGGACCGGAGGGTGTGTTCCAATTATCGTGGGATCACACTCCTCAGCCTCCCCGGTAAGGTCTACTCCAAGGTACTGGAGAGGAGGTTACGGCCGATGGTCGAATCTCGGATCCAGGAGGAGCAGTGTGGTTTTCGTCCCGGTCGCGGAACACTGGACCAGCTCTATACTCTCCATCGGATACTCGAGGGTTCATGGGAGTTCGCCCAACCTGTCCACATGTGCTTTGTGGATTTGGAGAAGGCGTTCGACTGTGTTCCCCGGGGTGTCCTTTGGGGGGTTCTCCGGGAGTACGGGGTCGGAGGTCCTCTGCTGAGGGCCATCCGATCCCTGTATGACCGGAGCCAGAGCTGTGTTCGCATTGCCGGCAGTAAGTCAGACCTGTTCCCGGTGAATGTTGGCCTCCGACAGGGCTGCCCTTTGTCACCGGTTCTGTTCACTGTATTTATGGACAGAATATCTAGGCGCAGCCAGGGGTCGGAGGGGGTCCGGTTCGGAGACCACAGGATTTCATCTCTGCTGTTTGCGGACGATGTTGTCCTGTTGGCTCCAACGAACCAGGACCTGCAGCATGCACTGGGACGGTTTGCAGCCGAGTGTGAAGCGGCTGGGATGAGAATCAGCACCTCCAAATCCGAGGCCATGGTGCTCGACCGGAAAAAGGTGCCTTGCCCTCTGCAGGTGGGTGGAGAGGTCCTTCCTCAAGTGGAGGAGTTCAAGTATCTCGGGGTCTTGTTCATGAGTGAGGGAAGAATGGAGCGTGAGATTGACAGGCGGATCGGTGCAGCGTGCGCAGTGATGCGGTCGCTGTATCGGACCGTTGTGGTGAAGAGGGAGCTGAGCCGAAAGGCAAAGCTCTCGATTTACCGGTCAATCTTCGTTCCCTCCCTCACCTATGGTCATGAGCTTTGGGTAATGACCGAAAGAACGAGATCGCGGATACAAGCGGTCGAAATGAGCTTCCTCCGCAGAGTGGCTGGGCGCTCCCTTAGAGATAGGGTGAGGAGCTCAGTCACACGGGAGGAGCTCGGAGTAGAACCGCTGCTTCTCCACGTCGAGAGGAACCAGTTGAGGTGGCTCGGGCATCTGTTCCGGATGCTTCCTGGACGCCTCCCTGGGGAGGTGTTCCGGGCACGCCCCACCGGGAGGAGGCCCCGCGGAAGACCCAGGACACGCTGGAGGGACTATGTCTCTCAGCTGGCCTGGGAACGCCTTGGGGTCCCCCCGGACGAGCTGGAGGAAGTGTGTGTGGATAGGGAAGTCTGGGCGTCTCTGCTTAGACTGCTGCCCCCGCGACCCGGCAACGGATAAAGCGGAAGAAAATGGATGGATGGATGGATGGACAAAAATCCACTATAAAAGCAAAAAACTCTGTAATCCTGATGCCCTTCCTGAAGCAGTTTGTCTATAATGCTGGGGTTGCTTCTGTAGCACAGCTGTAAAAAACGTAAAACGTAAAAATAAAAAATAAACATCAATTATTTATATAATACATATATTTATATACATCATATACACATAATGTCATTTTACTGTATTTATTATCGTCTTTATCAATAATGCGCACTCTTCAGCCGGTTATTGCAATCGCAGCTGTAGTTTCAACTGTGGGACAACAAGTACAGACAGAGGAGTGAGACATCTCACTCTCTGACGATCTTTGGCAGTCCCCGTGTGTTTGTATCTCACAGCTGTTTGTACCTCACGGGTCACGCTTTGGACACGGACTTTCAATATTATATGACAAGCGTGGTTTATCCTCCGTGCATCGTACAGACAAATCAAAACTAGTTTTGGAAAGCCCTGAATGTGTACTTCACAGAGGAAAAAAGTAAGTTGCTACGTTTTACCGTTCGCGAGTAAATTGATCATTTGTAAAACATGTGCGCATGCATCGGCGCCGATGCAGACGGGTTCATAGGGTTAAAAATAAAGAGACAGCGCAGTACACTCAAGATCAGAGGGAGACCGGAGAGGTCAGAGAGAGATGGGAGGGACCAGAGAGACGCCAGCCAGAGAGAGGGCAGAGGGAGATACCAGAAAGGGACCAGATAGAGAGAGAGAGAGACCAGAGAGAGACAGAAGAGACCAGAGAGAGACGCCAGCCAGAGAGAGGGCAGAGGCAGCGCAGTGGGAATGAGGCCATAGAAGAAAAGGATACGAATGGTGTTTCAATAACGTTCTTCTCTTAGATTTTCTTCTCTTTGTCTTTTCTGAAAACGTCCGGGCGATTTCAAACAGCTTCTTCCTGGTGGCTGTGGGCAGAGAGAGACAGATAAAAGATGAGGCCAACCAAGAAATAGAGAAATAAAGAAGCCCCATCTTAATCTTGATATTGTTGCATTGTTAACGATACTGCATGTTTCGGTCTTAGATTTTCTTTACATCTAAGAAGCCATTGCAGGTTGGTGCAAAACGTTGTCCATGAGCACTTCCCTATTGGGTTTCATTGAGCTAGCAGGTTAGCATTATCCATCTGTATACAGTCTATTATGGCAACAGCCCAAATTCTGACTCTGAACCTTCCTCACCTAACCCACATGTAGGCAACGTTTTTGTGCTTGTGTGGTCTAAATTCCTGCTCCAGAGAGAGAGACCAAAGAGAGAGGCCAGCCAGAGATACCAGAAAGAGACCAGAGAGAGATCAGAGAGAGAGACCAGAGAGAGAGACCAGAGAGAGAGACCAGAGAGGGAGACCAGAGAGGGAGACCAGAGAGGGAGACCAGAGAGGGAGACCAGAGAGGGAGACCAGAAAGGGACCAGAGAGAGATACATGAGAGAGACCAGAGAAAGGTCCTACATCCACCAGGACATCTGGACAGTGGTCATCCCGCTCCGTAAGGACCCATAGCTCCAATGCTTTTGTTATTTCTGCATGTTTGAGTGATTCTGCTGTTGTGATTTAGGAAAATACACAGATACAATGAATTGAATCGAACTCTTACATTTTCCCATATGTTTGAGTTTGTCCCTGAAGAGTGCGTCGTCTGAAGCAGCATCCATCGAAGCCGCGGAGTAATGTTCCCCTGAAGGAAAGAAAAAGCTTTAAAATCAGGCCACAGCAAGAGCAGGAGATCTGGGGTTTTGAACCAGAGCTGTAGGATCAGTATCCATGGCTTTCAGAATCAGGGGCCTCATGTGTCATACATTGTATCATCAGAGAGAGGAGTAGGCACACACTTCAGCTCTAGTACAAAAGCCCAGCTCTGTCCTGGTGAGCAGAGGGACAGGCCAGCAACAGGCCAGCGACAGGCCAGCGACAGGCCAGCAACAGGCCAGCAACAGGCCAGCGACAGGCCAGCGACAGGCCAGCGACAGGCCAGTGACAGGGAGAGGCCAGAGAGAGAGAGGCCAGAGAGAGAGAGGACAGAGAGAGAGAGGCCACACACACAGCGAGGACAGTAGCAGCAGTGGAGCCAGTGATTCTCTGACCTGAGTTTTCCGCACTCAAAGAATGAGACCGAGATTTCTTTGACTCAAACTTCAATCGATCTAAAACAAACAGAGCAAAACATGAGCCGCAGCATGAGAAAGTGCAAATGACGACTGAGATATCTGCAAAAAGTCAAGACATGTGAGGGAGAAATGCTTGAAATGCAGTATGTTGAATGTCTAGTATAGTATTTATAGTATTGCAGTACATTCCAGTAATTCTGACCTTTCCATTGAATTCAATAGAAACTTTTTGTTTTCACTTTTCTGGTGGTACTCTCTGCATTACTTTTGGCACTTCAACCTGTAGTAGTATTTGCAGTATTCACATTACAAATTGTGCCCTTTTTTTAAATAATGGGACTACTTAGATTTCTTGTCCTTTTACTTTTAAGTTTAGAATGTTTTTATTTCTTTTTAGTGTTTTCTTTTTTGTTTATTATATACAGTCACTCAGAACGGCCTCAGCCATTGTACAAATACTAGATACCTTATACTTTTAGAGTTTACAGTGTCACCCTCTCCTACAGATTGGACAAACACTTTTCCAATATTATTGCAATTTTGTTAGTAAAACATGTGACATCACTCTGCACTAACATTGACAATACAACCACATATGCTGAACAGTTTGTTGAATTCCTCCTCTTCTCAGTGTCAAAGAACTTCCTGGTTTTACTTCCTGTTATTTTCAAAACATTTCTGAACTTTGGCCGTGTAAAACACATTTTTACAGTCTCTCAGTGAAATCCAAATCACATGAACTTTAGTGAAGGACCATGTGACCTGCACACAACACACAAACACATATTATTGCCCAGGTTGGGTTTTCTTGAGCAAATTATATTTAAAACAGCAAATGTTTTGATTGCAGAGTGATGACCCCAGTCTCGTCGTCTTAGGAGAATAAACTAATAAGTACGTAATAACATCTACTCTGAAAGAACGAAACTTTATTCCAGTCTTGCACCGTTTCTTTGTTCTCCTCCAGGTTCCAGCCGTTGGGAGCTGATTTGGAGATGGCTGGGATCTACCACAGTCAAAAGCCTTTCTCAGAAAGTAAGGTACCCAATATAGATTTTCTGGGAAATATTTCAAAGGCAATTTCTATGATTGTAAAGAAAAATTGGGTAGAGGCTAAAGCTAATGCGCTAGTTAACATGTCAGGAATCTTTCAAGTGCATTTCTTAAGGCCTTCTTGTATATTGATTGCAGTGGGATTATTATTTTTTTTACTTGATACACAGCCAATGGCTGATCATTCCCTTTTACTTATATATATATATATATTATATATACATACACACACATATACATATATATTACTGTATATATACTTTTTCCACATTAGAGTTATTTTTGAACTAATTAATACCTTTATTGGATATGGGTTTGGATACTCTTGTTTGGTTGTTTTTTTCTGGACTAAAAGAGTAAAGTTATACTTGGATTGAATCAGAGCTGGACCAAAGAGAAAGTTGGCTGACTACTTAAGACACTGATATTTGACATGTGTAGTGTAGTGTAGTGTTAACGTGTGTAGTGTCACCTCTCTCCAGAGCGATGAGGAACTCGCGGTTCCTCTGCAACTCCTTCATGAACTCCTCGTTCTGCAGGAACAGTGCGATGCGCTCGTCCTCCAGATACTGCCTCAGCTTCTTGTCCTGTTCAGAGGCCGCAGTACCAGCTCCGGAGCCAGAGGGCGCTGACCACTGCCCCAGAGAGCTCACCGAGGAAGAGGAGGAGGAGGGCTGCGGCAGGCAGCTCTGAGAACTCTGCAGAGAAAAGTTATAATTACATTCATTTGTCTATTTATGGGTTTCAAAGTCATCACGACGAGGCCCTAGATGTATTTGTAGAGTAACACAGCACAACAGTCTGTGGGAACGGATCCCTCTCAATCTATGAGCATCCAGGAGGTTTCTCACCTTTTTCCCCACCTAGTTTTTGAGTGGTTTCTTGCTGATGCAGGAGGGACTAAGGGCAATGATAATGCGGGACATTTATGGACATTTATTTTGAACCTTATCATGTTTGCACACTTCTCTCTTTTTGCACAACCTGAGTGATTCCATCTGTGCCAAACGTGACAAGTAAATTTCTCCAATGTGAGATCAATAAAGTTTATCTTATCTTATTATTATTAGTATTTTTTTAACGCTTTAACGCATGTCTGAAGACCCGCCCATGTATAATAAGATCACTCAGAAAGTCGCAGACACATGCCTGTGTGTGATGATGACAGAGCAGGTCTCTGGGAATTCAAGATTTAAAAGAATACACGCGTGACCGCGGGGCTGTTTGCTCTGAACTGAAGTCGGCCCCCTCCGCGGCCGCTCTGGTTGTTGTTAGCAGCTGTGAGCCACTAACAACAACACGGTGAATGGCACCGCGGTGCTCATATAAGACCATACACACACAGAACCTGTGCGTAACCTGTGCACGCAAATACACCGCTGAAGCTGAACTATGGAGCATCAGGGAGTGTCCGTGTCTCCTCCGTGTCTCCCCCTGGAACACCACTAAACTTGCTAAATTAAAGCTGGGGTGCGTACATTTTCCCGTTCATGTTGGTTATGCCAAAAGTAAAAGGTTGTGAGCAAATCAAACAGATTGAAGTATATTTGGTATGAATGACAATGTGTCATTACATTTGATGATCTCTTTTAACTTCAATTGGAGTGGATTTGAAATAGAATGTTAAGAACGCGATTAGTCGTGAGTTAACTCACCAATACTATGCGATTAATCAACAACAAAAATAGTTTGACAGCCCTAATACAAATATATTTAATTTAATTGAAATTATGTGATGTCACCCACAATAATTGAATACGTATACAAAGCATAAGAAAAAAATTGACACAATTTCATGTTGCTCCCAAACCGGTCTGACCACTCGGTCTACAGGCTTTTTATCTGATTGAGGAAATGTAATTCGACATCTTCTTTACTTTGAGCATTCGATTTTCACACAAATGTAGCAGCACAAGTCTTTACATTACCACGCCGCAATTAAACAAATGAATTACGGGATTCACAATACAGTTATTATCATAGATCCACGTCTGTTCGATTGTCCAAACACAGAAAATGCAATAATAATTAACACAAAGCAGCCATTGGTCCACAGGGAGCCAGGGGTGTCAAAGGGCCAGTGTGGCTGCAGGACTTCCTTCAAACCAAGCAGGAGCACATCAGACTCCACCCATTTCCTCAACAGAGTCCAGTCTGAACATGAAGAATGACTCGAGTCTCCTGCTTGGTTTCAACGAAATCCTTTAGACCGTCCTGCATTGGGAAGGAACAAAAAAAAAAAGTCTATTTGCAGAAGGTCCTGTTCTCCAGCCTTTCCTGCAGACTGGGACAATCCGGAAAACCACTGTGGGAAGTCTGCGGTTTCTTCACAACGTTGACAAAAGCTGCAGTGTTGTTGTATAAGTGGTTAAAATAATGAGGATGCAGTTTCACGAGGCCGAGCGTCTCTAATAAAAGCACAGTTTCACCTTGATGCTGTCGAGCTGCTGCGGCAGGATCCTCAGGAAGTCGTCGGGCAGATTTCCCAGTAACGGAGGATTCCAGTTTCTGTAACTTCTGACTTTCTGGTGTCCAGGAGGCGGCTGCTCCTCAAACCTGCCACAAGCAAAGGTTTTCATTTTTGGTCTGTTTGTGGTGGTACTTTTGTGTTTTTGTTTTTATTTATTTAGTTTAATTTTGTTTCTGTTGGCTTTTTAATGTTGTTTTTGCTGTGTGAAATCAATAAAGTCTATCATCTTATCTTCTGTTTCTGTTGTTAAAGTGTTTGTCTGTTTTGTTGTCCTTAATAATAAAAAATATATTATAATAAAAATAATAAAGACTTTGAATTGAAAGTAAGGCCGGGACTTTAACGTTTAAACGAAGATGAATGAATTACACAAACGTATTGCGCAAAAGAAATTACACTTATTTTTTCACCGCAGAACATTTCTCATGGGACGAGTTTTGGGGGACCAATTATACTGGTGCACCAACTATAACGACAACCAACCCATGGATCTGTGCATGTGCATGAGAGCCACACATGCGTATTTGGCGCAACGCATCACGGGAGATCATCCACTGCCCAAATACAGGCGAGTTTCCCATGGATCTTTGAGAGTTCCGCTAATCTTTCAGCCCCCATGCCGGCACAAAGAGCCACTGAGCACAAACCATTCATTTGAATAGGGCGCCATCTTGGATCGCCGGGGCTTGAACCAACCACAATTGACATAAACGAATAAGCTGAGCGTATGCGTCCGCCAGTGGATGGAAAATGCTGCTATAAAAACGAACAAATGAAAGAGTCGATAAGAGCATGGTTGTGTCTCATATCACCACAGCACCTGGAGTATCACCTCAATGCTAAACATAGAGAAGCTAGCTGTTTAACTAGCTTGAGTACAAAGACCCACACCCAAGCCACACTCCACCAGGTGACTGCTTTAAGGACGAGAGGAAACTGATTTTCTTTTTGATCAGTGGTGGTGTTTGGAGGGGCCAATGGCACATGGTTGCCTCGCTTCTGTCAGTGTGCCTCAGGGCAGGTGTGGCTACAGTATTATGAAGGGAATACATAATGACATGTGAAGCAGCTTTGAGTGTCCCAAAAAGCACTGTGTAAAACCAATGCATTATCATTATTATTATTATAAGTGTCTCTCTCACACCCGCGCCTCCCAGGTCCCCGTTTTTGGCTAGCACATTCTCACCGCGGCGGCGGCGTGGGCGGGGCTTCGGGGTACTTTCTGTCGTAGATGTGCATGTCATAGGCAGGAGGGGAGTAAACTGGGGGAGGCTCTTCGTCTGAGCTGTCCGGCTCCAGCGTACGCTCCAGAATCTGAAACGACAACAACAACAGTCAGAATAAAATATACCGGCTAAAAATAGATTCTGGTGACAACTGTGTTTATGTGGTGAGCTGAGCAGCGGCACACGGCGAGGAGAGAGATACGGACTCATACGTGACTATAACAGCCCTGAAACATGATCTTGAAAATATTTACATTGGCACTTCTTGTTTGAGAATGAGAATATACAGCTGCAAGAGGCAAACAACACAGGATGATTGGATTAGCCACATTTGAGCCCAAATCTGTCTTTAAAGATGTGTCAATAGAATTCTCTATTTGGAGGTTTTGAAATTTGAATTCTTTGAAAAATTAGGGAAGAAATATGTTCAGATTTTGTGCTATGGTGAAATACAAAATAGTATAATAATAATTGGCAATTTTTACTGTTTCTAATATTTGACTAGCATCTCATTAATTTCCTGTTGGTTAAGTCTTCAGTGACGACTGCTTTGTGATTAGGGAAGTACAAAAGTGAATTGACTTGGGATAAGAGAGGGTTCGGGCCTGTATGACTGCGTATGGGTGTAAAAATTCCGTCAGAATCAGAATCTGAAATGTATGCTAAAATATATGCTGATTTTTCCTGATTTGCTGATTTTTCCTATGCCTTACTCTATCTTCTACCTCTCTTCTTTTGACTGTTTGCACCAAGAGCCAAAGCCATTTCTGTCAGTTCCTGTATGTATGTGTATCCATGTATGTGAACGAGGCCGTTCCTTGTATGAGTATGTACTGTATGCCTGTATATCATTATAAAATACATTATGTCTCAATTTAAGTATTTTCTGTTCCGCCATCTGGATATTTTGCTTTTTACAATGTCAGACCCCAACTTTTGAGTTTTGCGTGGCTTCCTAGGGCTTACAATTTTCACAATGTCAATCACAATTTCAAAGATACGCACACAATTACAATAAATCGTTAATCTGTGATGTGAAAAAAATTGAATTGAATATTGTTGCATAATTCTGATGACCAAACGCATAGTGTATTATGGTTTGCATCTCTTCAAACTTGTCCCTGAAACGTGTGGGAGGGTATGAATAGCTGAATATGACACCTCCCCCTAGTGGTAGAAGTGGGGAACTACATACAGAGACCATTTCTTATTCTTGATACACGTTTATCCTTTGAAATGACATTGACATTTCCCCACTGAGGGACTAATAAAGGTTCCTTGGATCTTATCTCAGGATAGAAACTGGTCTGAAAGACTAATTGCCCCAGTGAAAGGGCCTCCTCTCTGGGTCAGACCTCTTGGGGGATGCTGTCGTCGGAGTCGGAGCTGTCGTCGGAGCCCTGCCCCTCCAGACTCATCTGCAGCAGCTGGTCGATGGTGGCGTCCACGGCTCCATTGTTGGATCTCAGCACGCACTCGATCACCTCGTAGTCCATGGTTGGGAACATGGTCTTAAAGTCCTCCATGGCCTGGTTGAACTCCAGCCGCCGCACCTGCCCCAGAGAGAGCAGAGGAGGGGCAAGTTGGTCATTTATTAACATTTATAGACTTATGGGTGCCTTCATCTTCTGCCAGCCTTGTTATCTGTAACTCCCTTCTCTCAGGTCTTTACTTCAGACTCCTCACAGAAAGGAGCACATCACCCCTGTGTTGAAGCAACCCTCCACTGGCTCCTTGTGTGTTTTAGACTTGATTTTAAGATTTTACGGATTACTTTTAAGCCTTGTTCTCTCAAAATGACCTTTTTAGACACTAAATTAGGGCCTATACAGGTCTAAATAACCCAGGGCTGGTCAAGTTAAGAAAAATCCTCAAAATTCAGCCAGAAAAATATATTATTTGGGGTATTTTTTTAATCACTGTGGCGGGTCAATCTGAACCGAGTATAGCCCAAGGGTTAAAGGTCTGACACCAAGCTACATTTCTGAACTTTTAATCCCATACAAAGATGTGACAGATTAAAAATACATGCATGTGAAAACTACCGATAGCACAGGACTGTTTTGATTGATTATATCATGTAGTTTCACTTTTATGCTTTGAAATGTAGGTACCCCAGATTTAAACAATTGGAAATAATAGGCCAAAACCAGGTCGAGTCCCTTCCTAGCACATAGGTAAATGTGTGTAAGTGCATGAGTCAGAGTTTATGTGAAGGTGGATGGGGAAAATAAAGGACATTTTGGAGGAAAATCTCAATCTATTTGGTTCTTTTATACCAGACAAATGTAAGTTAACAGTGTCATTACCTTGATATGTTTTGAAAGAATATTTCTGTCTTCAGAACCATTTGTCTGGTCCAGAAAAAAAAACAATAATGTGATCTAATGAGAAGACAAGATGGACCTTCCTAAACTATGGAAGAAAATCTGATGGAGCTGGTGATTTCACATAGTGTCTACCGTACTCTATGGGGTATGAATACTTATGCAATCCCTGAGTAAAGTACATGTCTGACCTGTCTGTTGGACCGGCTGTTGTTGAGGTGCGCCCCTCCTCTGGACCCTCCATTGCTGCTGCTCCTCCGGAACAGACTGGTCATCTTTGGTCCAGCGCCAAGCCCACACAAACCCAAACTGCACTGCAACGCACGCTTGTAGGACACCAGCTCAGTTCATCATGGTGCAGGCTTTACCCAAGAGCGGTGAGGCCAAAATAATACAGAAAAGCAAAAGGTTTTATCTACAGAGATCGGACTTGTGATCTCAATCCAACATGGCTGACGACGACGGAGGAGGAGGAAATAATCCAGAGAAATTCATTCTTTTTTTGAAGATGCAGGAAGATCAGAGTCTCATGTCTTTGTCAAAGACCTGTGGAGAAAATACAGATAGACGACATTAAATATAACGGACCGCAAGAGGCACTTCAGTCCAGACTGACAAGTCCAAGCAAAGTCCAAGTCTCTGGACCTGCGAGTCTAAGGAAAGTCCAAGTCTGGTCCATGTCTCTGCTCAGGATTTAAAACTAAAATATTTATGGCTGTGACTAAAGTGCAATGCACTTACAGGTAGGGATGTACCGATCCGATATTCAGTATTGGTATCGGGGGGCGATATGGGTATTTTGTAAGGATCGGATAATATCGGATTTGTTAAATATGAAGCCGATTTACGTCACTTTTTAGCATGCTCACGCTTTACGGCTGCCGTAAACTAAATACAATGTAAAACTAGGGCTGGGCGATAAAACGACAACGAGATATATTGTGATAGACACGTGTTCGATATCGATAGAAAACGGGGTCGATAGAATGTTAGTTTAACGTCACTCCGTTAGAAAAAACAGGAAGTAAAGCCGAGTCAGAGGCGCGCGGCATTCTGGGGGATGTAGGCAGAGGCTTCTCGACCTATCACAGCCAAGCGTCAACCGCAAAACTTTCTGGGAAATGCATAAACAACAACCGCACAATGCGTAGCGGACATGGATCTAAAGATTGTTTTTCAATGCAGTGTCAATGGTTATGCACGTCCGTGCGAGGCATAGCATGTGCGGTGTGGCAGAGGCAGTGGACACAGAGACCCGGTGCATGCGGCGAAAGAAAGATGAACTTTTTCCTCCGTGCAACTATCACAGAGCCGTCATGGGGACACAAAACACGAGTTAAACCAGGACTATGGGGGAGACTGCTTGTGAACATATTCCTTGAGCCTCATTCCCTGTTACTGTAAACAAGGCTGCTGGCATGTGTTAGCCGACACGACAAACGTATTTATTCAGGTAAAATTGCAAATTCTTTAATGCTTTGAAAATATTTGAAAAAATTGTATCGGATCGGTATCGGCAAAACAATATTTAAGAATATCGGAATCGAATTACAAAAATTCTGGATCGGTACATCCCTACTTACAGGTGTCCCTTGTTTATCGCGGCGGTTAGATTCTAAAAATATAATATCCTACAATGAGCAAAAAAAATGATATAATATGAAGTAAGGTAAGAATGAAGACAAAAACCACTCAAGCAATTGAGTACATTCTGAAAACATTCACCAATGGGACAAAACCATTTAGACTTTTTTCAAGACTCTACCCTACCCTACTCGTACCAGGTCCTCTTTTAGCCCCTTTTGCTCCTGGTTCTATCCAGGCCGAGCTGGTACTTAAGTGTTCTAACTGACAATGATTGGTCAGAATGCTGCTGGAAGCTAGCCTGACTCTCGCCAGACCCATGTAGTTCGCTGCACTTCACACATGAGTCTGGTACTGAGCCATAGTGGTTGGATTTCAGAAGGCAGGGCCTTGTAAAATAAATCCTTGTATGTGATTGGATAGACCACTTGTCCGTTATCTTGAATGAAGTCTGCTTTCAACCCTTCACATCGAAGCACACGGCTCCCATAGGTTGCCAAATCCCAGCAAGATTTTCCAACCCAAAATCCACGAGAATACCCAACAAAAAAAAACTCAGTATGATTTTTTGGCTAAAAACTTAATGTAATCAACTTGGGCTACCATGATTCTGTTTATTGTCTTTCTGTTTATTTAATACCTTCAAGTCTCTTGGAAAAAAAAAATGCGGGAACCACCAAACCTGGCAACCCTGCTGCATAGTGTAAACAGGAACACTGAACCAGTGCTTCAACCAAACTTTACAGGAACATTTGACTCTTAAAACACACATATATCAACATAGAACCATCTACATCTCGCCTCAAATTGCATTAAAAGTGACATCCGTGTCTTAATTCGATCGTATTGACTCTTTTAAAAAGATTTGCGTACTTTACGTCCGCCATCTTGCATTCTTCTCGCTGCTGCATGAGAGAAGCTCGAGAAGGCAGTGCAAACCCCACGTAACACCGGCAATCCTGATTGGTTGATTAAAAAATAATCTGGGGAAGGCGTTCGCTATGGGCTCGATACCAGACCCATGTGGTTCAGCCAAATGCCTCTGGTGGAGCATGGCGGAACTACAAGGGTCTGGCAGAGCCAGGCTAGCTGGAAGCCATGGTTACGAAGACATTTCCATGGAACATGGTTTGTTGTGGGTAGGTTGCTAGGATACGGTACCAGAGATTTAAGCGCAACAGAAACTCAACCAGGTGGAGTAGAGACGAACATTTATCCACAAAGACAATATTAAGACAATATTTGACAAACTTTAAACGGAGCGTTTGGAGAATGCGAGGGGAGCGATGGGCAGCGATGGTGTTGGTTGTTTTGCTGGTTTGCTCATATGGTAAAAATAGGCTAATTAACTGTTTCTGGAGGCTGAATGTTGAAGTAGGGCAGATTTACACTGAGGCGGCTTCCAGCGAGAAACATGAAAGAGTCTCATATACTTTAAGGCAGGTGCTACTAATACACACTGTCGCAACAAGATTTTTTGCTGAAATTCAGGAGAAAAACAAGAACAATAAACTGCAGCTACACAGGGAAGTAAAACTATGTATCCATTATATCTATCACAGGGGTCTCCAACCATTTTAATACAGGGAGCTACTTTTCTATAACAGAAGAGGCAGAGAGCTACTCCTTTTTGCAGTCGTAATAAAAGTATGTAATAATTAAAGCTGCACTAACTGACTTTATTTTCGTATTAATTACGAAAATGCTATCCATATCCATGTAGTGCATTGGGATATACGTCCTTTTGAAGAAAAAGTAGCGCAGATTTGTGCTGGCCTGACATTATATTTTCGATCGAGTTTTGATGAAACAAGGAAGAGAATGTGTTTCGGGTCGCAGATTGTGACCAATCACAGCGGACCACTAGCCCCGACTTTCGTGAGAAATCTAGAGGTCCGTTAGCACAGACAGCTGAGTTAGCACAACAAGCGGCGGAGCTAACCTGAAGCTTCGTCTCTTCGTCACCAGTTACTGCTCACACAGCGAAACAGCCATCCAAAAGAAAGTCTCGTTCCTCCGCGCTTCCCGGTTCTATCGTTCTATGGTCACGCCATCCACGTGCTAATCCATGTCCATGTATTATCCATATTGGGAGACACTAGCTCCGTCTCAACACTGTGTGTGTGTGGGGGGCGATAGCTTCGTGGGTGCGGGGAGGGGAGCAGAAAGAGCGAGGCCAGCGAGTCCACGGCTTCAAAATCCCAAAGTCAGTTAGTGCAGCTTTAAGACAAAACATGGAACATTATTACTGTGTAACCCTATATTTATACTTACAATAGACATGTTATGACTCAAAAAGATATTCATTCAAGATAATTTGTTACTAAATCCTTTGGCGAGCTACCTGAAAGGACATGGCGAGCCACTGGTACCTCCTGAGCCACAGACCCCTGATCTATCATATATCGAAATCTAAATTAGATACGATCAATCTGAGATTTGCATGTTTTAAATGTAAACATGGGCTTACAATTTATTCTATTTTTTCTATTTATTGCTTTGATCTCCCTTTTTAAACCCACATTTTAAGATTCTTTTATGCTACTGTTTTAATATTAAATGATTGTATATTTCATTTATTTTATGTTATTAAATTGCTCTTGTGAAACACTTTAAATGGATTGTGCTATACAAAAAAATGATTGATTGATTTGTGGAAAGTCTAACCCATGAAGCGAACTGACTCTGTGGACCGACCAAGTTAGCCTGGCCATAGCCATCCGTACACTCCGCTCAATCATCATTTCACTGCATGTAACGTCTGGGTCTGGTCCCTGTGTTAGAGATTACAATCGGTCGTATTTCAACCGGCTACTCAGAGAGCGCGTTGTAGGTCGGTGCCGGTGACGTCAAGAGTTTGCGCCGAACGGGCAGTTTGTAGTTTGGCAATGGTGAAGAATGCGATAGTAAAGTATTCCGGTCTGGTTCTATCAAAAAATTGAAGCAGGAGCAAGAGGAATGTTTAGCAAATGTAATCACTGGTAAAGATTGTGGCGCTACTCCCCACTGGCTCCGTTAGCAGCAAAGGAGATGGTTAGGCTAAATGCTAACAACACACTCGGGCGCACTACATACGTCACAGTAAACTCAGATCCAATCGTTTCAATCTGCAAAAGGAGTTAACCCCTCCCACCTGTTCACGTAACACAATGGAGCAAATCCAGACCTTAGTATGAAATTAAATTTGTACAAAAGGTGTGGTACGACCAGGCTATGACCAAGTGTGACATCACCACAATGTTAGCCTTAACGCAGAAGAAGCTGAATTGAACATAAGCTAGCCGGAGCCAATTTCCTTATATGGGTTTGACGAGTTAGCTTCAGCTGATAACAGGGGCAGAGGTGTTGCTAACGTGGTTGCTAAGGCAAGTGAGAGTTTCCCCGGCTAATGAAGACATCTGATTGGTGAACACTTAAAAAGGCTCATAAACAACACTGAGCTGTTCTATTGGGGTATATTACTTTCATGATTTTCTAAGATTTTTTTTAATACCCAAGAAATTGATAAAAAATATACATAATACATAAGACAAACATGCTGGGGGAAAAAATGTAAATTGGTTAAAAGAAAATTAAGAGGTTGTTCCTTATTGTTAAACTTTTTATAAGTGCAATATGTATAAGAAAGTGGGGTGAAATATTTAATTTAAGAAAATTAAGGGAAATAAAAATTACATTATTATTATTATTTTTTTTAAATCTATATTAAAAAAGTGCAACTCACAAGTACATTAAACCCACGTCCCCTGAACGCCACACAGGCCTCACTCAGGTCCATCTGTCGGACTCTGGGTCTGGATTTCACATCTGGCCTCGGTCCAAGATGGAGGCCAGCGCCACAAATGAAAACGGATCATAACCAGAGGAGCAGATGGTGACAGCTTTAACAATGGGAGACGTGTGGGAGGACCAGCTTTTCAGGGTCCAACGTACAGTTATTATGCTAAAGTTACAGATTCTATACTAGTTTTTTATACTAAAGTTACAGACGTTATACTTGCCCCTTCATTATGCTAAAGCTAGAGATTTTATTGCTTCTTTACTAAAGTTAGAGATTTTATTTTGTTTTAGTATAGAGTTCATATATCACTTGCTGTGTGCTCCTCTTCCCTACTGTTCTGTGACAGGTGGTGATGCAACACTGAAAATTCCCCACATCTTAATATTTTCAGACTTTGAAGGACGAAGTTTGTGTTATGTCAAATGCAATAAACAAGTACAATTAGCTACAGCAAATAACGACAAATTTGATCTATTCAAGTACAGGATGTGATACAGGCAACGGCAGGGGCCAGTCCCTGTGCTCCTCAGAGTCCCAGCAGGAGGTCAGTACCTGTGCTCCTCAGGGTCCCAGCAGGAGGTCAGTACCTGTGCTCCTCAGGGTCCCAGCAGGAGGCCAGTCCCTGTGCCCTGTGCCCATGGCACTTACATGTCACAGATGTATTTTGGTAAAACCCAGTCGTTACAAAGTACTGTGTTTATTCTGGACATTTCTCTCGTTGTTAATACATTTCCAGACAGAGTTTCTGTTTTATGATTGAGTTGAATGGTTCGAACCCTGCTCAGGGCCTCCGCGAACGCATCGACCAATCAGAGGGCAGCGTTCAGGGGCCCCCGGACAGGCACATTCACACATGGATCTGGTTTTTGACGGAACCGAGAAAAGATGGAGAATAATTGATCTGAGGGTGTGGAGTTTGAGCTGCTTTAAGAGAACGATTTCAACCTCGCTGTGTGAAAGAGAGGCCCTGCTGCTGTCAGACTGTATAACGAACAATGAAGACTAACAAACACTGCCGACATGACCTCACACGTTGGGCATCTGTGCAAAGTTTTAACTAATGTCCGAAAGCGCTTCTTTTTTATGCTAAAGTTAGGGATTTTATACTAGCTTCTTTAATTATTATGAAAAACTATATAAGAATGAATTATTAAAGGTATCCAAGAGGATTTTCTACTTCCGGGTGGATCATCAACACTATTGGTCCTCCCAAATGTCAATCATTCTGTTTATACGTCCTTGTCCAATAAGAGCAGAGAGTTTTGTTCAAAAAGTAGAAAGGGCGGTTCTTTCCTAAAATATGGGAAAATCCTCCTTTATACCTTTAACAAACATCCGGGAAATACAATCATAATTTGTTCATCTTTTTCCATTAGCACAAAAACATGATACATAATTCATAATGAGAACCAGGATCTGTCCATACGGGTCAATAATATTCATATTGGTATCAGGCAAGGCCAGTTTATGTGTATGGCACAGTTCATACACAAGGCAACTCAAAGAAATGATCACAGTGCATTAAAAGAGTGAAGATAAAATCCTTCAGTTGACACTAAACAGAAGTGTTTTTAACATGGTCCAAAAAAACTTTGTCCATGAGCACTTCCCTATTTGGCTTCATTGAGCTCAGGGGTTAGCATTGTCCGTCAATGACACTGGGTAACAAAAAAATATATTTTTTAAATAGTCCAGGGTTTTCCAGCTGAATTCGACTAATTTTGATGCTCTGAGTCCGAAAATAACCTTGGTTTTGCTCAATCAGGTCAGGATTTTTTGCTACAGAAATATTTTTTTAAATCGATTTTGCATTTAAAAAAAACAATTTCGGCAGATCATCAGCTGAGAAACCCTTGACGTTTTTTCCGTTTTCCTCAAGAAATAAAAGTCAACGTATCCAAAGTCATTCCGTTTTTATTTACTCCATCAAATTTGATAAGCAGAATTCATAATAACGTAGACGTACATAATCCGTAACACTATGGCTGTATCTCAAAAAGTTGACCTGATAGAGCAAAATGCATGTGATATTCGGACTCAGAACACCAAAATTAGTCTAAATCAGTTGAGAAACCCCGGACCATTTTTTGGCTGTCAACTTGTGTGATCGGTGCCTAATGATTTAAAAGGAAAAGACAAAACAGAAATCGGGGAACACAAGATAAATCTCTGCCAATTACCGATATTACGCGATACATGTGTCGCTGCCTGTTTGAAAGAGTAGATATTCTGGGGAGCACAGGGACTGGCCTCCTGCTGTCCCCAGAGTCAGACCTAAACACGGGGAGGCAGCGTTTCAGATTCATGCAGGTAAAATCTGGAACAGTCTTCCTGAAATTGTGAAACAGGCTTCTTCTCTGACAATGTTCAAATCCAGTTTAAAAAGTTCTGATTAGCAGCAACTGAAGGACTGTATCTTCTCTCCTTTTAACATACTTATGATAATGATTATTTACAATTTTAATTCCTTGTGCGACTGTTTCTATCGTGTTTTGTTCTTTGAGTTGCTTTGTGTATGAACTGTCCTATACAAATAATTTGCCTTGTTTTGTCATTAATTACAAGATACAGGTCATTAATTAATCGCATAAACAATACTAATAGCCTCCTTATCTTTAAATATTAGACCAATGTTCAAGATCAATGCATTTCTATCTAATCACATTGTGGAATTAATTACTTTGAACCCAGTCTGACCCAGTCTGACCAGTGCAAAATCATAAACTCTTTTATTATTATCAATGTTAAATTTGGACTTGAAATTAGAAAAATCCAGAGAATAACATCAAACTGCGTGCGTTTTTGTGCATCTGGATGTAAACATAGACAGATGGCCTTGGTCCGCTGCGGCCTGTGAGAGGGGGTCACCCAGTCTCCTCAACCCGGGGTAGGAGCTCCTCTCGGCGGCCACACGGTCCACACAGGCCTCGGTGAATCGTGGAGCGCGACGAGAAAAGACGTGCAAAAAAAAAAACGAACGCAAAACTCTGGAAAAATTTGGAAACAGAGTAACGAGTGCGATGTTTGTGAAAGGGAAGTTCACTTTTAGACATCGCTGTGTTTACAAGGAGAAAACAGTCTGCAGAAACAGCTCAAATCACGAAGACAAATGTGTTTTGTTTTAGGAATATAAGAAGATTTTACTCACGGAAACCGAAGGGGAACGGTCTCACGGTGCAGGGAAAAGTCCACGGTTTGTTGCAGAGAAGGAACGGGGGAAACGGCGGGATGGAAGACAGACCGTGACCGAGCCAGAGACGCTCATATGTGGCCACTGAAGAACCAGCAAGAGCCGCGGAGACCCGGAAGTGAGGCAGATACAGGAACTTCACAATATTAGAAAAGTTAATAATAATCATCATAACAAATAATAATAGTAAGTATGTCAAATGATTAATACGTATTCCATGTATCATTCATTTATCTACTCTACTCTACTCTACTCTACTCTACTCTACTCTACTCTACTCTACTCTACTCTACTCTACTCTCATAACAGTAGCTAGGAGCTACCGCATCCAAGCAACCTACCCACAACAAACCAGTATCCATTGAAATTCCTTGGTAACCATGGCTTCCAGCAGCATTCTGGCTGATCACTGTCCGTTAGAACATTTTAGTACCAACTCGGCCCCCCTCCTTAGTCCTGGATCTACAGCCTCTCGGTCCATGAGAGAAGACTCATCTCTATGGGCCAAACAGAGCACACTTTTTTTCCCCCAGAGTGGTTCTTCTCTGATGCAGGTGTCAGGACAGGGACAATGACGATCCGGGACATTTATTAACATTTATGTACAGTGGTCATCCCGCTGCCTATGGACCAATGGCTCCAATGAGCTTGTCATTATTGCATTATCCTTTGCTCTGTTTGATTCTCTGATCTGAAGTTGGTGAATCGACAACTTTGCGCAGTCCTCCGAGACGACTGCTGTTGTGATGAGACAAACACAAATAAATTGAATAGAATCGCACAGTAAAGTGGAAGTTTCCTTTTGAGTCCGGGACAATAGCGCTGCACGTGTCACCGCGTTCATACAAAGACCTGCGTGACCTACATACGCACAAAGAGACGCTCATGGCTCGTGTTTAACGGAAACGTGCTCTTATTTTGAAAGCGCCAGGTTCTCGCTTCCGGTTGGGGCTCGTGCAGCTTCGTAACCCAGATTTGTCTCTTCTTTGATGAATGAGCAGCAGTGACGTCACCATATACTGGACAGAAGGAAAGACGACAGTGCATTTATGAACTTTCTCTTTCCACAAGCTCTGCTCTAGTAGAGTAGAGTAGAGTGGGGTATAGTAGAGTAGAGTAGGGTAGGGTAGAGTAGGCTAGGGTATAGGAGGATCTTTGTTTACACCCGCGTGCGCATGCGCCCCTAGCTGGGTGGCATAAAGACAGAGCGGCACAAACTGAAGCATGGATGCGACGAGTACTTTTAAAAGACTCAGTGGGCGAATAGCACTATAACACAAGAAGATCAGAGGAGATATATAGACAAGCTAAAAATAATTATGAGACCAAACTGAACAAATCCAAAGCCCATATGAGACTTGGGATCACGAGAAGAAACATTGGTCAGGCTCACCTCTGCTTTGGCATCGATCTGCTGGGACTGAGACTCTGAGACATTTATTCTTACTTCATAGAAAACCCGGGACCTTTCACTCAAGACGGGTCTGTGGTGAAAGTCCATTTCTCGCGTTTTTCGCGGTAAAGTGGCCCGGCATTTTGCCGTCGCGATTAAGCACAAGCGGGTTGCCCCTTTTTGCTTAGTTACGGTAAATGTGGAACAGGCAGCAGAGGGGATGAGCAACAATGCAATGTTTAAAATTAATCATCACAATGAACAAGTGCGCAGTGAAAGTTGTTGCAAAACTTCAATTTGTTTACGAATTTTTATCCCGTCATCACCCCGACTGCCTGTTCTACGTTTACCGTAGGTAACAGCATAAAAGGGCAACCACTTTACAGCGGCCATTTTTTGTTGTTCTTTTCTGAAAGAATTGGAAAAAAGACTTAATCTGTCCCCAGCGGGCCGTACAACCGACCACACAACAAGAATGGACCATTTGATTTAGTAAAACCTCTCTCCAAACGTCTAAAAATAGCTAACTCTCTAGCATCCAGTTAGCGGTCTATGCTGCATTGCCACCTGGTCACGTGACCGGCACGGAAAACTATAAACAACGACGTCACTCCAAGATCCTCCTATAGTAGAGTAGGGCTGGTGGAAACAGGGCTTAATGCTCGGTTCATGGTTCACTTATGGATCATTTAGCTTCATTTGTAGTTATGTAAAGAACAATTCTTTCTAATAATTGATCTTTCGTTTTGATCCTAAATCTCAGTGAATATAGGATTAGTATTAAAAAAACCTACTCTCAGCTTGTATAAGTCTGCATTACGTTAAAACAATAAGAATTTGGTTGCTAAATTTACTGTTTAACTAATTAGTTGCTTTGAAAGTTTGAAATTTGAAAGCTAGCAGCTAACAATAAGCTAGCAGATTAGCATCGTCCATCTACATACAGTCTATGGTGTGAGTAAAAGGCAAATCCAAAAAACAGCGACAAAACCGTTACTTTCCATAACTTTTTTTATTCTTCCCTAATAGTTCTGTACAATCATGAAATCAAACTTCAGAGACGAGCCTATAGCAAAATATGATCTGTACACGTCTTTAAATGCTTCCGGGCGAAAAATAAAATAAAACAAAACAGCGACAAAAACACACATTTAAATGATCACTCCCATGACTTGTCTAAAGCTATGCAGAAAAAACACTTCAGTCAGTTCAGTCCAATGGCTTCAAGCAAAAAAAAACAAAAGAAAACAGTCTGGAACAGCGGAGCCACGTGGACCAAATGCACTGATGTTCCCTTTGACGTTCACCCGGTGAGATAGAAAACTCCTATTTACAGAGACAGAAGCTGAGAGACAAAAACCGGGAGAAGGACTCGGTTTTGGACGAGTTCGAAAACGATATTTATGTGGAGTGGATGTGGCGTGAGAAGCAGTAGATGTGGCTTTAATGCTGCGATTTGAGTTCTTTCTCACGTTTTGGATCAAATTTCTGCAAATATTCAAACTCGTTGCAGCACTAAGAAATGGTTGGAGTCTTTGTGGAGATGAGGCACTGTAGTTTTGGCCTCTGATATCCCGTTTACTCTTTTTATAAGTGAGAGCCATCTCGACACACAGAAAGATCAAAAGGACAACGTTTTCCTATGTTTCCCATTGTGAATATAATCTATGCTAAAGATGGGGTCTGGATCTACGGCCTGAGTCACGGATCTAAGGCCTCAATTCTAGATCTACGGCCTCAGTCCTGGATCTTTGACCCGTTTGATTCTCTTGTTGGTGAATCAAAAACTTTGTGAAGTCCTCAAAGACCACTGCTGTTGTGATTTAGGACGATGGACAAATGTAGACGTTGAATTTAACAACAGCTGATGGAGCAAAACAATAGGACGACTGTTTTAACGGTTGACTCGAGACGATCAAAGCACTCTGGGAAATGTAGTTTATTTATTCTGTTTCCCATCTTTACAAGTTAAAATAATGTAAAAAGAGTAATTAAAAATGTATTAAAACCCAGCAGACTTTAACTAAATACATCGGCCGGGGGGTTTAAAGAGGAAGTAGCAGCTTATAGTCCGGAAAATACCCGGACATTTCAACACAGCGTATGTACAGTTACAGATCGCCAACACTTGTTCATATTTAATTGGTTAAAAAGTTTATAAATATATCTGCCGTTTCCAGACCTGCCACAGATCTTGGCAAAAATCAGGTCACGTAGATTCATAAATATCGATTCAAACTTGTCCAAAACGAGTTCGATCAGAGACAAGAAAGCGCTTTTGGTTCAGTCCATGTGACAGAAGTCGACGAAGTTCAGAAAGTGGGAAGACGAACCATTGAAAAACAGAGAAACAGAACATTATGGCTTCTTTTCCCACTCGGGACACCACCAGTAGGAGACCGTTCTGGTGATGTAAAGGGGACTGTATGCAAATCTGAATTCAATGATTTTATTGGTTAAAAAGACGGAGACAAATGATTTTGAAGTTGTGTAAAGAGAGGCCGCCCCTTTTGGATTATTGAGACCATACACCAGATTGAACCATGTGGGTCACTATACGCCTCTTTGGGCTGAGAACTAGCAGCAGTCGGGAGCAGAGAGGTCCAGACCACTTCAGTTCTCTTCTTAGTTTTGCAACGGACCAATTATAATTATAACACAAGGCGTTGCGACACAAGCTGGATTTCAATATTAAAAGGCAGGTACCCCAGCTTTAATATACTCTTTGGGGCCTAGTCCGAGCTCTTACAACACGACTTGAAATAGGTTGCGTTCATGTGACATCACAGCGTTCCAAAGAGACTAGTTTTACATTGTGGTAGAGGGAAGCTGGACAATATTTTTGGGTAACAAGTCTCTCTCTCTCAAGTCTGTCTCTGGTCTCAAGTCCCTCTCTTAGGTCTGTCTCTGGTCTCTCAGGTCTGTCTCTGGTCTCGAGTCTCTCTCTCAGGTATCTCTCTCAACTATGGTCTAATTATTGTCTCATAAATGTGTCTAGACGTGGTGACAATATTCAAACATATGCATGAAATTATCCAGTAGAAAGGACTCGGATCTGGGTTCTTTCCCACAGAGACGCACCTGCTGAAACATGAACGCAACCTCTTCCAGTTGGTGTCACTTTTGCCTGGAATAGCACATATAGTACCTTCTTTACAAACTTCAGGCACATAAATCCCACATTTATGACAATTCTTATTACCCCACTCACAGCGCAGCATTTCTCTGACCTTTCCTGAGTTAAAACACAGATTTTGGATTCGTTTTGTCGATAAATTTACAGTTTTCCCTTTGCCTTTTTGATCCGTCTCACACAGCTGCCTTATTGCTTATGAAGTACCAGTTTAAACGACAGTGTAAAAACTGTAAAAATAATTCAGTCTTGAGATTATGAAAGAGTACGACAGTGACAGGACCCAGTGCGGTGCTAGCTCATGCTTAAAACCAAATGGGAAACTAGCTTGGACACGTTTTAAAGGGAAAGCATTAGATTAAAGTAGTTAGATATTTGAATATGGCTTAAAATGACTTGTATTTCACTAGTCTCTCTATGTTACCAAAAAAAAGACGTAAAATTTCATCCCAATTTTACCCATGTTTTTGCTTATAATTTTACTTCCTGGTTGCATTCAAATTTCACCTCAGTTATAGCCACATTGTTGGTTATAATTTACTCCCTGGTTGCATTCATGAAGCTTATAGTGAATATGAGTTACTTTTCCAACTGTGAAGATTGTAAGTGAACGTGCTGCTTCCTGATTGGTCAATTTTTGAGGTCTCACATCATTGGCTTAGATATTGTCCTCTAGCAAATCTCACTGGTCGTAGTTTTTCCAAGGGGAGGGGCTGAATTGATTATATTATTGTTGAAAAATAATTAGAGTACATGATACTACAATGTCGCCAAGTCAGAAATAGGTCTTTTAAAGTTGGTAACATCACCTTTAAATGTCCCAATGAAATGTATTTAGTTCGTCCAAATATATTCTGTTACCTTTAATTTTATTTCACCAGGAAAGTGGCGCCAATACTTCAGAATTAATTTCTCAAGGGAGTCTAGGCCCTGGAGAGAGAGATGGGGGAGGGTGTTATTGGGGACTACAGCACATGTCATAGAAGTAAGGGGAAAACTGAGCACCTGGAGGAAACCTACGCAGATATGGGATTTAAACCCAGAACCTTCTTGCTGTGAATCACTGAGTTACCCCATGTCATCATTTGCAATCAGATCGTAAAAATCACAAACCCAAAAAAATGGATAAAAACGGAGAAATTTTAAAAATCTTCAAAATTGTATACACTTGACTCAGTTTGTGAAGCTCTGAAATCAGCCACAACAACATTAAAGGTGAGGTACGTGACTTTGTAAATATGTTTCCCTATGAAGTATTCCCAGTGTTTTTTTAGCAGAACTTTGGCGATTCCCAAATCTATACAGACAAAAACTGTATGTTCAACAGTTAATTTTTTCCTCAAAAAATATGTAGGAAAGAGTCCCGTGAGTCACTATTAGACGCTGAGAGGTTCATTTTTTCTGAATTCAAAATATGACAAAAAGACCAGAAATGACGCACGTAAAACCTTATGTATACGTCTTATGTTGGGAACAGTTTGAAGGTAAAATTTTCCCATGAGAAAGTGAAGTACCCCACCTTTAGACACATGATCCGGAACATTAGTAGTTGATATCAAACAGTCGTAAATCTGTAAATTCATGATTTAACCGTATACATCTACGTCAATGTCAGTTTAGAACGACAGCACCTCATTCGTTGAGCTAGGATCCACAAGAAGCTTAAAAAGTTTCAGGTTTCAATTCAATTTCATCCATCGTCAGATTCCCACAAGAGAAACCATTACGATAGCGGTACATGGGGTTACTGGGGAAGTTTTTACTTGATTTAAAGCTCATTTTTCTTCACCTCAAAACATGCAAATATGGATTTCACTTTGGATTTATTGTTGATTCTACGGCACCCATTTGTATAAGAGTACATCATTTGCACTTGGGGAATTCAAGTATTGTTCAAAATAGGGGAAAATCAATCGGTGAAGTCATTTTTCTCCCTCTCAAAACTCACTTATTTATCCTAGAGAATACATTTGAGTTAAAGCTGAAAATCTGTAGCCCCATTCACATAAACATAGACTTTGGAAGTTTCTCACGCTGTCAAGAAACACCACAAATAAGACAGAAGGAATGTATTTTTCATATAGTCAAGGAAAAACCCCGAACTCTGGATATACAGCCTCGGCCCTGGGTCTACAGCCTCGGCCCTGGCTGTCACTTTTATATTTTTGATTCCTTGCTGAAGCAGGAGGGTCTAAGGACAGTGGTCATTGCACTCAATGGCTTCTATGAGTTTGTTATTATATTTCCTGTGTTTGAACGGTTTGATTCTCTGATCTGTTGGCGAATGAAAAACTTTGTAAAATCCTCAGATACAACTACTGGTGTGGGGCTCTACAAAAATACATTGAATAGAGTACAATTACCCATTTGAGCCATTTTAAGCAATTTAAAGTGCTCGTTCTGGGTTCTGTCATTTTTCTTCCCAAAGATCACCGCCTGGACTCTCGGACTTTAGGAGATGCGTGGTGACATCACAGCTGCTAATTTAAAACATAAGTGTACTGATGGAAGGAGGGAGAGCCTATTGGTAGATGAAGGCCTTCTCAGCTTGCTGTATCTGCATGTATTTTGGTTTAACAGTTTCAATGTTTTGTAAATCTATATGTTCTTAGTTTCTGGTTTATGTCCCATCTATAAAATCTGCTTTCTTCCAGTTGTGTCAAGTTAAAAACTGCTCTTCTATCAGCTTTCATTGAGTGAAAACATCTCAAATAACAAAAAGATAACAGTTTGTGTCAGGCCTCTTGCACTGGGGAAACTTAAGAGAATTTTGATATTTCGCTATGTATTTCCACCACTGAAAAGTTGAGAGATCCATCGGTGTTTGAGTTTGATCCAAAAAAAGTCTTCCCAGCGTTCTACAACATTATTCTTACACTATTCTCAATTCAGAACGGATTCAGGACATGCTGGGATCCCATCAGAAGCTACTCACATGTATAGTGACCTGGAAAAAAGCTAGAAAATTCCCCCAAGACTTGCGTTTATGTGAATAGGGCTCATGGGATTCTACTTTAACGGCAAGAAGAAAGGGTCTTTAGCAATTGATGCAAAAAGACATCAGTATCCATCTGGTGAGTGAATGGGTTTGACACCAATATTTGACAGATGATTGAATCCAGACACAGGTTTCTATGAGAACGCACCAAAGAATTCATATTTTTGATTCCAAACCCCAGCGTTCCTCTTTGCTTCCTTTTCTTCTGTAGTGTCATTTCTGAGCAACATCCTCCTTCAAGATTCCCAGGACTTCTCCGAGCACACATTTTATTTCTAGATTATGCAAAAACGGAACAACACACGACACCTGCTGTACTTCCCGCTGTAGCTGCTTGCATTACAAAACACTGGCTTGTCCTCTAGTTCAATGCATTTTCATACGGCTGAAATCCAAGTTACTCCCTTTTATCGTGAATTTATTGCATTTGGGAACCGTTTTACTAAGTAGAGCAGCGAGATATTTGGGAAATTCCTTTAAAAACGTCTGACAAGCCGATTAAAAGGTGAAATTTAACAGGACAAAATCCCCAAGACTAAAAATTGGATCCAATACTAGTTATACGACAATAGTCTGAGGATCTGTCACAAGTTTGATTTAAACAGAAAGGATGAGGGGATGTGACCGTGCCCAAAGTTATTAGCATGGATGGATCTAAAAACAACTCCAGGTCTGTGCATAGAAGAGGGAAAACTGCTGATGAATCGCATATAAAAAGGGCATCAGTCCATCTGCTCTCCAGTGCTTTGTAGATGGTGTGAAGTCCTAACACTACAACCCCAGGAGCAGTCAATTTGACGGGTCTCAGCTTAACTCGGCTCATGTGCATTCTTACACTTTGACTTTTTTGGTTCATTGGTGACTGGTCAACTTTTTGATTCTTTATTTCAGGTCATTCTCTGTTTTGTTCTAAATATCTTGTAAATATCTTTGTGTTTTACTGCATTTTATTATAGTCTGACTTTTTACTGTTATTATCTTTAGGGAGACTATGTTCACTTGTCCAGGGACTGCAGGTGAAAAATAGCCCACTCGGCTAATTCTGCAGTTTTTACAGAAATGTGTATTAATGCGCAATGTCCCTGACTTTTTGGGAAGAATTTCTCCTTTTTCCATTGGTTTGAATAAGAGTAGTCAAAATGGCCGCTATGTTAGTTTTAGTACTTTCAGAATTTTGGGAGTCCTGGGGTTAATTGAAAGCAAGTCAAGAAGACAGTTTAAACTATTTATTATAAAGAAAATGTGTCTAAATCTGGATTTAGACTAAATACTCCTAGTTTTTGTCCAGTCGTTTAACCGGGGAAAGCTCTTCTTTCTGCTTTATTTCAGTCGTGTCCAGTTAAAACACCTCTTCTTTCTACTTCAATTCAATCGTTTTGTGTCCCATTGTGACTTATTTGCATTGTTATATGAAATAAAGTATGGATTGTCAGAAAACACTGAAAATGGCCTGATAAATCTATTGCCTTAAATAGAGGAGACTTCTGGACAAATCACAGAAATACATGTGATTACGCATGATCTTATTCATGACAAATGGGAGTAAACTGGATCTGAGCAAATTCAAGTTTTAAAAAATCATTTTGATGACGTAGGAGTTCGAACATCCTTCTTTCGTTAGTGCAATAGCGCATTCTCGCCTCTCGGCAGAAAAAAACGCCCAGATTAGTTTGTTTCTAAACAACCCCAAAGGGAACAGTGCATCGCAGCCTCAACCAAAACAACTTTTAGCCTCAAAAAAGTGATCTGTGTCAATGGTTCAACAGTTAGGAAAGACTATACGAGAGATGGGAGACTTTCCTTTGACGCAGGTTTTCGAGTCAACGTGCAAAGGGCCTGGCTGAGAATGCGGAAAATATACCGACGGAACTTTTATTAATTTAATCACAATATAAATTGATATTCTTAAAAATGTACAACTATCTCCTTCGCTGGTTCCCTCCTGTGTACAGAAAACCAGGGAGGTGGGGTCGAGACTGAAGCGTGGGTGGCGTAGATTATGCCAGCAAAATGATTTTAATATTTTTTTGTGGGAGTTTTGAGAATATAGGGCAAAACGGTGAAAGAAAAACAAAGCCAAATAAAACAAAATATCTCCTTATAGATCCAGTGCTGTTGCAAAAAAAAAAAAAAAAACTGAAGGTAGGTCCGAAATGGCCGCCGAGGTTAGAAGCTCTCCACCCAAACGCCCAGCGCTCGTTCAGCCAGTGTGCGATTCACAGAGACGACCTGGATAAGCAGAGAGTAGAACAAAGTCGGTTAGCAACGTCATAGCAACCAAAGAGCCAATCAGGAACAAAGATGGTCTCATAGCAAAGTCATAACGTCATAGCAACCAAAGAGCCAATCAGGAGCAAAGCTGGTCTCATAGCAACGTCATAGCAACCAAAGAGCCAATCAGGAGCAAAGCTGGTCTCATAGCTACTAAAGACCCAATCAGGAGCAACGCTGGTCTCATAGCTACTAAAGACCCAATCAGGAGCAACGCTGGTCTTGTATCATTTTGTATCAAAATGTCACTAAATTATAAACACAGACTTGATATTTCAAAGTCCAAAAATGTATTAAGTAAAACTTATAAAAGGTGAAATTCGCAAGAGATATATTCTAGTTTTGACCATCAAGAGCTGGTCTGTAGATTAAGTAGTAATCTTATTGGTCAGATAAGGGTCATCATATCATAATGTTGAATAATGAGTACTATCTCCATTCAAATAAACTAAAACACTGAACACTGAATCCTCTTCACCACAAAACAAAGCACGTACCTCATCTCCGACCATGTTCCACATATGGACCAGCGGGAGCCCTGTGTTGTTGTCGTAGTTTGAGACCTAAAAATAGACAAGTTATTATTAGAACTGCAGGTGAAGTGGGAGACCTGCTGCTCCCTCTGCTGCCGTTTCACCTCTGCTGCTGCTGTGACTTTTAGAACTGCATTTATGTATTTATTTTGTGTTTGGATGAATGTTGTATACCTACAGTATTTCTCCACCTCTATCCCTACTTCCATCTTTCTCTACCCCTACCTATCCCTACCCCTACCTATCCCTACCTCCATCTTTCCCTACATCTTTCTCTACCTCTATCCCTACCTCCATCTTTCTCTACCTCTATCTATCCCTACATCTTTCTCTACTTCTATCCCTACCTCTATCTTTCTCTACCTCTATCTTTCTCTACCTCTATCCATCCCTACCTCTATCCATACCTACCTCTATCCATCCCTACCTCTATCCATCCCTACCTCCATCTCTACCTCTGTCTATCCCTAACTTTCTCTTTAACTCCATCTCTCCATCTATGCACCAACTTGAACCAACTCAGTATTTGTGTCATGAGGAGAAAGTCTGTCCCAATAAAACCATTCATTTTAGACCAATTTCAAGATAAAATCATGTCCTTGTTTACAGTAATGTGTGTGACCTCAGCTCTCATACGAGAACCAGTGTAGAAATGTAGAAAGAATGTTCCTTGAATGATTTTTAGATGTTGAAATATCTAACAAATACATTTGTAAATTCATATTGAAATTGAACACATGAAACTATGGCAAATACTGTTACTTTAAGATATATTTATGTAGTAGTTTATTCTGTAATTATGAACATTAGGTCAAAGATCTTATACATTTTACAATAATGAAAAAAGGTGTAAATTTACGTGTATGGTGTAAGCGCAGCAGGCAACATAATACCCAAAAGTATCTCCATAAACTAAGAAATGTTAATATTATAAATACTTGGAAATGTGGATGTATGATTTCTGTTCACATGAATAAAACCAAATCTTAACCTGTGCCAGAAGTGCAACTCCTCTGGTCAGCTCCTCCAACGCCGTCGTGGCTTCGGCAGAAAAGCGGTCCTCTCCTGGACGAGCAAAAGTCACAAGAAAAGGTTTAGAATTTACAGAATGCAGTAGCGTAATAAATAAAAGTATTCAAGTATTATTATTTTTTTACCTGGAAGAGGCGCAATGTTGTCGAGCAAAACTTCTGCACCTTGAAATGGTAGTGTTACAAAATCAGATCTGAAAAAAAAAAAAAAAGAAATTACAATGGTTAAAAATGATGACCTGAATCCACCACTAGAGGGCAGAAAGTCACAACTTCATAGAGCGAGAAGTGTTACAAGATCTCAGGTTCTCTTTAATAAAATAGGGCCTCCCAGGAAGTTTCTCATTTTCTCTCTCTCTCCCTTCCTTCCTTCCGCCCTCCCTCCCTCTCTCTCTCTGGCCTCCCCCCCCCCCTTTCTCATTTTCTCTCTCCCCCCATCTCCGGCCTCCCTCTCCCCACATCTCTGGCCTCTCTCCCGCTCCCTCCCTTTCCTCCTTCCCCCTCTCCCCGTCTCTGACCTGATCTGCCGCAGTGTGTCGATCTTCACACGGTCGTATCCTCCGTAGTCCACGTATCGAATCTCGACTTCGTTTGATTCTTTGTAAAACGTGATGACCTGAGCTCGCCACCAGGCGGCGTCTCCTGCAGGTGCTGCACAGATCACCCCCACTGCAAAACACAAGGCAGGTTTATTTGTATATCACATTTCAAACACAAGGCAACTCAAAGAGGTTTTAGAAAGAGCGTCACATCTGTTACTTGTGCGATATGTGTTGATATGACACAGTTTCAAAGAACAAAGAAGAAGAGAAGGGACGGAAGCAGAGAGCCAAAAAGTCACCCTTTGACTTTTTACTGTGAATATGTGTTTTTCATTGCATTTTTTGTTTAATAAAATTTTTATACTGAAGAAATCACTTTGAGTTCATAAATAATCAAAGCTCCGTCAAGGTCAGAGCTCCACGACTCCTCTTCCTCCAGACACAGAAGAATTCTTCTTCTTTATATGAACTACTGATGTCAGATACAAGTATCAATGTGACCCTGAACCAGAAACAGGGGAGGAGTGACTAACAGAGCTCAGATCTCCCATAGTGTCTGATTCTGGAGCTCATGGATGAAGGTAGCAATAGCTTAGCAACCAAGGAGCCTATCATGTCTGACCACAGAGGCCATGAAGACGAACACATCTGATTTTTACTGCCGAGCAGGGCAGGGCTTATGTACAGTACCTTGCGAAAGTATTTGCCCCCCTTGAACCTTTCAAAATTTCGCCATTTCAGGCATCAAACATAAAGATATTAAAAAAATATTTTTTGTCATGACTCAACAACAAGTGGGACACAATCGTGAAGTGGAATGAAATGTATTGGATAATTTAAACTTTTTTAACAAATAAAAAACTGAAAAGTGGGGCGTGCAATATTATTCGGCCCCTTTACTTTCAGTGCAGCAAACTCACTCCAGAAGTTCAGTGAGGATCTTTGAATGATCCAATGTTGTCCTAAATGACTGCACCTGTGTGTAATCAAGTCTCCGTATAAATGCACCTGCTCTTTGATAGTCTCAGGGTTCTGTTTAAAGCGCAGAGAGAACCATGAAGACAAAGGAACACACCAGGCAGGTCCCGAGATACTGTTGTCCATCCATCCATCCATTTTCTACCCTTTAATCCATTTCTGGGTCAGGGGGGTGGCAATCAGAGATGTCACCCAAGTCTCATAGCACCAGCCCCTCACTGACCCTCTGCAGGTGGTGAGTCCACAGGAGGACGGCTGCTCTCTGACTGTGAGCACAGCCTTGATCTTTCAGTGGGGACACAACGACAGCAGTCATCAGTGGGAGTCGGTGGAGAAGGTGTAGAGGTGGCCTGAAGGCCAATGCTCTACCAACTGAGCTACTGTCGCCCCCCTGTTGTACTGTATACTGATACTGTTGTGGAGAAGTTTAAAGCCGGATTTGGAAACAAAAAGATTTCTCAAGCTTTAAACATCTCAAGGAGCACTGTGCAAGCAATTATATTGAAATGGAAGGAGTATCACACCACTTCAAATCTACCAAGACCCGGCCGTCCCTCCAAACTTTCATCTCAAACAAGGAGAAGACTGATCAGAGACGTAGCCAAGAGGCCCATGATCACTCTGGATGAACTGCAGATAACTACAGCTGAGGTGGGAGAGTCTGTCCATAGGACAACAATCAGGCATGCACTGCACAAATCTGGCCTTTATGGAAGAGTGGCAAGAAGAAAGCCATTTCTCAAAGATATCCATAAAAGTCTTGTTTAAATAGCAATGCAAGACTCAGTGGAAACGCTGTGGTGAAAAGAGGTCGCTGTCTTACTCACTTTAGTTCATTTGATTCTGAGCAGCTAAATAATCAGAATATATAGCTACCACCACTATCAATAAACATTTTTATTCATAGAATCCATAAATGTGTGTATTGTTCTGATATTCCGTTTATTTCCTGAGATATGAATTAATAAAGTTGACAAATATGAGGCAGAGTGGGCAACAGATAGTCTGGACTCTGAAAAAAAATGAGTCGGGATATCCTCGGCATTCCGCGCGGGTTAATGACGTCGCCGCGAGGTGATATTTACCGGGTAAACAGATCACTTATTACTGCGCATTACGGCGAAAGCGGCATCTCTCCAGCTGTTGAGGTTACGGAGATATAATCCGACGAACTTAATAGCAAAATACACGGTAAGTAACCGGGATTTTGGAAAACCAACACCACACACATACATCTAAGATTATAAGCTTTAGAATGATGGTATATTTGAATCATGTCACGGTTGTTTTGACCCGCGGATCAGTGAATAAAGTTGAAAAACCGCCGCGCTCATCACACACTCTGCTCTGCTGCCGAAGCGGCAGGCAAGTCCGGGCGAGCCCACTTTTCCGGGGGGTAGAAACGCGAGTCACGTGGCCCAAACGGACCAATGCCATTGGTTGGACTAATCCATTTTACATGTTAACAAGGGTGTTTGGGTTGTTAACATGTTTAAAGCTCGGGTCTGTAACTTTAGTCTCATAAATAACATGCTTAAAGCTGAGGTCTGTAACTTTAGACTCGTAAATAACACATTTTTAAAGTTGAGGTCTGTAACTTTAGTCTGATAAATAACATGCTTAAAGCTGAGGTCTGTAACTTTAGACTCGTAAATAACACATTTTTAAAGTTGAGGTCTGTAACTTTAGTCTGATAAATAACATGTTTAAAGCTGAGGTCTGTAACTTTAGTCTCATAAATAACACATGTTTAAAGCTGGGGTCTGTAACTTTAGTCTCATTAATAACGTTTAAAGCTGAGGTCTGTAACTTTAGTCTCATAAATAACACATGTTTAAAGCTGGGGTCTGTAACTTTAGTCTCATTAATAACGTTTAAAGCTGAGGTCTGTAACTTTAGTCTCATAAATAACACATGTTTAAAGCTGGGGTCTGTAACTTTAGTCTCATTAATAACGTTTAAAGCTGAGGTCTGTAACTTTAGTCTCGTAAATAACACATTTTTAAAGCTGAGGTCTGTAACTTTAGTCTCGTAAATAACACATTTTTAAAGCTGAGGTCTGTAACTTTAGTCTCATTAATAACGTTTAAAGCTGAGGTCTGTAACTTTAGTCTCATTAATAAGATGTTTAAAGCTGAGGTCTGTAACTTTAGTCTCATAAATAACACATGTTTAAAGCTGGGGTCTGTAACTTTAGTCTCATTAATAACATGTTTAAAGCTCGGGTCTGTAACTTTAGTCTCATAAATAACACATGTTTAAAGCTGAGGTCTGTAACTTTAGTCTCATAAATAACACGTGTGTGTGTGTGCATATGCCAAAAACATTTCTAAGCATCATATTTAGATTGCTCCATCAATTACCTTTATTTTGATATATTACATAGTAGTTTGAAAAAAATGTTTTCCGGATTTCCTGTTGTTGGCAGCCATCTTGGATAAGCTGGCGGCCATATTGGAATCGGGGTCGGCCAAATTGTAAAATGAATATCGAATTCAACATCCCTGAATTGTTTCCTTCTTTACTGTGAATTTTAATGTTTATAGTTAGTAAAATAGGGAAGTTACAGCACTTAGAAGATGAATAAAGGCTTGAACTGGCTGAATAGAAGGTTCCACAGTATCCCTTTGTTTTAAACCAAATTACTTTCACTATAAGCGCCTAAAAGCACTTATCAATATGGTAATAAAATCATAACCACTTATCCGATTTTCATAATTCAAAAACTGTTTTATTCCTCTTACTGAGCTGGAAAGTACTGTGCTGAATTAAATCTGATTTGGTAATTTAAAAATTGTAATCTTGCATTGCTAGTTTAAAGTTTGCCACAAGCCACCTGGGAGACACACCAAACATGTGGAAGAAGGTGCTCTGGTCAGATGAAACCAAAATCAAACTTTTTGGCCACAATGCAAAACGATATATTTGGCGTAAAAGCAACACACACCATCCCCACTGTCAAACATGGTGGTGGCAGCATCATGGTTTGGGCCTGCTTTTCTTCAGCAGGGACAGGGAAGATGGCTAAAATTGATGGGAAGATGGATGGAGCCAAATACAGGACCATTCTGGAAGAAAACCTGTTGGAGTCTGCAAAAGACCTGAGACTGGGACGGAGATTTATCTTCCAACAAGACAATGATCCAAAACATAAAGCCAAATCTACAATGGAATGGTTCACAAATAGACGTATCCAGGTGTTAGAATGGCCAAGTCGAAGTCCAGACCTGAATCCAATCGAGAATCTGTGGAAAGAGCTGAAGACTGCTGTTCACAAACGCTCTCCATCCAACCTCACTGAGCTCGAGCTGTTTTGCAAGGAAGAATGGGCAAGAATTCCAGTCTCTCGATGTGCAAAACTGATAGAGACATACCCCAAGCGACTTGCAGCTGTAATTATAGCAAAAGGTGGCGCTACAAAGTATTAGCGCACTTTTCAGTTTTTTATTTGTTAAAAAAGTTTAAATTATCCAATACATTTCGTTCCACTTCACGATTGTGTCCCACTTGTTGTTGATTCTTGACAAGAAAATTCATTTTTATATCTTTATGTTTGAAGCCTGAAATGTGGCAAAATGTTGAAAGGTTCAAGGGGGCCGAATACTTTCGCAAGGCACTGTATATATGTTTGTGTGTATATGTGTGTGTATATGTGTACCTTCCGCAGGCGAGGGCAGGGCTGGCGTCCCTGGCTGTGAGTAGCACAGGGACATCTGCTGGTCCAGGCTCCTGAGGGCGTGGTATGTGGGGTGAGTGTGTTGCTGCACAAACACGTGACCCGCAGACACGATGTTCACCACGATCACCTCCACCGTGACGCCGCTGGGCAGCAGCAGCTGGACACAATTGGAAACAACTCATGTTAGATTACATAATTTAAGCCAAAGCTGCACAACCAGTTGGGGCAGGTCCCGGCTCAAAAGTGGCCAAAATGACGAGCACTGACATGCTTGCAATACCATCCCGGGCCGATGGGGGTGGACCCGGAATAAGAATTATCCAATGCCCACTACCTTCTTACCTCTCGAAAACGTCTTTACAGGATGGTCCAAAAGTTGGCTCTTGGCCCAAAGCTCTGTTCCACATGTGTGTCAATGCTAAAGGGAGTGAATTTCTTTGGACCACTCTGGTTTAGTCGCGGTGAATTTTTGAAGTCACTAGTTTAAATGAATGGGGCTCGTGAAGCTGACGCATGCGCAGATGCGTTATTTCACATTTTCCAGAACCCCCGGGGCCATTTTGAATCACTCCATGAGAGCCCAATTTTTGGCTCATTAATTAGAACGCCGGAGATAGGCGGGACTACGTTCGTTAATATATACAGTCTATGTGCAACACATTCTCACAAATATCTATATAACAAAGACAAAGTACAGGGTTCGAAAAGTTTGAAGCAAATGTGTTTTGAAGAGGAACAATGTTGAGGTTGAAAGACATATCCATGGGTTAAAGTTGAAAAAATTCCTGAGCCTGAACCATCTATATGAATCATAGAATGATCACTAATAAGCGTTTTTTATAAGCGCCTTTATACGCTCATACATATAATTTATATCTATTTATTGCCAACAACTGATGTTTATTATAAACATCAGTTGTTGGCAATAAATACATCTGACTATTGAATTGTTACTTAAATGTAAAGCCTCACCTTGCCAAGACCTTTCTGCAAGTACCCCTAGTTTGGATTTGTGTAATAATGTAAAAAAAAAAAAAAAAACATACCACATCACAGTAAGTGAATATACTATTTTCTTTTTTTTAATTATTATTGATGTTATTACTAACATTTTATGTGTAAACTGTAAACTGATTAAAAACATCCAAACTAGACATCAGATATGACATACAAAAACTAAAAACACTGGATCAGGCAACAAGAACACTTCCAGATTCAACCTTAAATATATAAATAAACCTTAACTTTTAAATTCTACTTATTAAACATTTAGCTTTCAACACAAATAAATGAAACTAAAGTGCAAATGAGCTTTGTGCTGTGTGTCTTCATAAAGCACCTGTGTTAACTTTCAATAGACTTTGATTTGGTAAAACATTACAAAACAACACAAATGCTAACAGTACTGTTTGAAATATTCATTTCTTTTTCTTTTGTTTAGGGTGTGAATTATCTGTATGCTTTGTAATCCACTCAAAAACAGAGATTGGGTGGCAGACGGACATCCCTTTTATTGTTAGACATTAAATACAGTATAGATTTGTACTTTGGAAATTGCAGATTACAGCCAAAAAATGTGTCTGTTTCCGTCCCGATCTTGTAATAGAAAAAATATCTTCAAATAGTTTTCCAACTTTGCCTTTATTGACGGCTATTTCTGGAGCGTTGATAGGTAGTTGTACAACGTAAATCGCTCTGCAGCACACGTCGCTGAGGGGACGGTCTATCGAAAAGTAAGCAAAAACAACTCTTATCATTCATGGCAAATCACCCTTTCAATTATCATCTCACATAAACAGCATTATATAGCACAGAAAAGAGATAAAAAAAACCGGTCTCCAGGAGAAAACGTGTCCGCCGATACGGGGCAGAGTTGTCGACAAGTGATGGGGTTTTAATGGCCCTGTTTTTGTAAGCTGCTGTTTCACGCGTCAGACGAATCGTGATCTAAACTAAGAAGAAAACACCGTTATGCTTTTCTCAGGACATCAACTGCCTCCTTTTAATTTAGTGAACATTTTAACATTAATAAACATACAGGCATTGAAGTTATGTATAAAAAGGGTGAAAGAATATGGTACAATACAGCTGAATGGTCGCAGCAGGGTCTTTCCTGAGTGGAGTTTGCATGTTCTCCCCGGACCTGCGTAGAGTTCCTCTGCGTGCTTCGGTTTCCCCCGACCCAACTAAAAACCATTACACAATAGGTTCGGATCCTCCAGCTCTTGTAGTCCTGACCAAGACAAGCATCAAAATCTGGAGAGGGGTTCCCGGGTGCTGTTACTACGGCGACCACTGCTCCTGAAGGTAAGCCTATGTGGCATTCAGGATGGGTCAAATGCAGAGGATTGAAATGCCCTCGGGGTTAATAAACTACCACCTGACTCACCACCGGGGCCATAAAATAAAACAATTCAAAAATAAGGTAAAAAACATATAAAACAGACACACAAACATATAGATACGAAAGGAAAAAAAATATGAATTCAAAGTGGATGATTTTGTAGGATGATTAAAATATGACCAGAAACAAAGACCAAGACGTCAAAGATTTGACCGAAATAACTGTAGTCTAGTTACAATTAAATACTAAAATAAGCTAGTTCTTTTTTGCCTACCCCTTTCTACAATAGTATAAGTGAAGGTGTTAGCAAAAGGTTTTTCCAGAAGCAATGCAATAGGATTTTGCATTAACATAAAGAAATCTGAGTTTCTAAAGTGGAAAAGTGAAAATTTGATCTACAACAATGGCTGGTAAGATCAATTATATAGCTACCTATATATCAGTGTAAATTACATACCATTACTGGGCACGGATAAAGGAGATAAGTGACATTCAGTGGAACTCATAGATGCAGGAACTTACCATTTACAGACGAGACGACCAGTGTTGGGCACGTTTACTTTGAAAAAGTAATTAGTTATAGTTACTAGTTACTTCTCCCAAAAAGTAACTGAGTTACTAACGTGAGTGACTCCACTATAAAAGTAACAAGTTTACCAGTAAAAGTAACTATTTGCGTTTACTTTTCGTTTTGTTCTGGCACAGAATGTGCACCGGCGTTGCGCATTTTTACCGTTTAACAGTGCCTATATTTCCATCTAGAGAAGGCTGTTTTGCTGCTGACGCCTTTCACTCGTGCATCTCGCTCGGTGCTGTTAGCACTAAACACCAACACCCGCCACGTGTATGTGGAAACACCGTGACAGAGCGGTGAGGCTGGTGAAGCACTGACTTCATCCAATCAGATGATCATATACATCATATAAATCAAGTGGACAATTTGTTTGGCCCCTAAACCAGCCCAAAAAATATGTTTTATGCCCGCATGTTTGTTCATACAAAACGCAAAACCTATGAGTTATGGGTCTTACTTATAGTTTTCTATCCCCTTATAAAGGACTACATCCACTTCGGTTCAGAACCAGTTCCTTGTTTAAATCCAGGGAATGGTTTGTGCGTAGATATGTAATCCTCCATTTGGAAATGATGCCATGAGTTTAAAAAGTAAACAAAACGCGTGTGTCCTCCGTAAACTCCCTCTGTTTTGCTGCAGCCGCTGCATCCAATGTCTAAAATCAACCGTCTGACAATTCACCTCTCGTTCTTATCATTCCTATAAGTAATGAAAAAATACCCCATGGTGCATTTTAGAGTATGTAAAAAAGTGTTATATGTATGTTAGCCAAACCGGTTGCTGTCCTTAAGCAGCTAAACCAGGAAAAGCAAGGAGCTATCGATGGAATGTGTATGCAGCCGACTTCTGCCCACATCGCTACTCTGTGGCTGACCTCACGGTGAGACAAGCCCGTGGTTGTGCGCGATTAAGACCCATATTTGTGCAAAAACACAATTATAGCCATCCTCTCTACTGTAGACCAGGTAGATTGTAAAGAATTATGATTACCATCAGCCAATAATTGCCGAGAGGTTTTCTCATCCGCCCTTCTCTCATGACAACACGTTCAGATGTGGCGTCTTGAGTAACGCGCAGTAACGGATGTCGGTAATGATAACGGCGGTATAGTTACTGTCAAAGTAATTAGTTAGAGTTACTCGTTACTGAAAATAGTAACGCGCTAGTAAACGCCGGACTAGTAACGCGTTATTCCCAGCACTGGGAGACGACATGTACAGACTTTGCAGCTCTCATTGTACAGTCTGACAGCAGTAGGAAGGAATGACATGCTGCACCTCTCCTCTCATAGTTACTGAACCAAACTGTTCGGAGGAGCAAAGATCATGTCATTATGTTGCATTGTGTTTTTTGTGTGTTTAGAGATGGGTAAATCCTAGCCTGACTCTCGCCAGACCCATGTAGTTTCGCTGCTCTTCACACATGAGTCTGGTACTGAGCAAGTGGTTGATTACAGAAAGGCAGGGCCTTGTAAAAAAAATCCTGTATGTGATTGGTTAGACCTACTTTCCTTATCTGAATGAAGTCCTGCTTCAAACCACCACATTGAAAGCACACGGCTCCCATAGGTTTGCCCAAATCCCACAAGATTTTCCAACCCAAAATCCACGAGAAAACCCACACACAAAAAAACACTCATTGATTTTTTGGCTAAAAACGTAATATAATCAACTTGGGCTATCATGATTGTGTTTATTTGTGTTCTGTTATTTATTACCTACAAGTCGCTTGGAAAAAAATATGCGGGAACCCCAAACCTGGCAACCCTGCTGCAATAGTGTGTAAAGCTGGAACACTAACCCAGGGCTTCCCAAACTTTACAGGAACATTGACTCAACACACATATATCAACATCAGAACCATCAACGCCTCAAATTGCAGTAACCGTGACCTCTGTGTCTTAATTCGATCGTCATTTACTCTTTTAAAATGATGCGCGACTTTACGTCCGCCACCTTGGATTCCCCTCCTGCTGCTTGAGAAAAGCTGAGAAGCAGTGCGAACCCCACGTAGCACCGGCAATCCTGATTGGTCATTAAAAAGAATCTGGGGAAGCGTTCGCGATGGCTCGAGACCAGACCCATGTGGTTCAGCCAAACGCCTCTGGGTGGAGCATGGCGGAACTACATAGGGTCTGCAGAGCAGGCTAGGGGTAATCCAGCTTTAAGAAAAATGTTAAGAAGAAATCTGCCATTTGGGAGAACTATAGCTTCTAATCTTGACTACACAATTACAGTGGATACTTTCACAGCTTTGGCCATTTATATAGTTGCTTCCTTTTGGACATTTACACACTTCCTTTTACCCCCGTCTCCCCAGACCACCGCTCTATAAGGTTATGGTACAACTTCGTCCTCTGCTTTTGATTGGCCCATCCTCAAGCCACGAGGGTAGTTCACCTTCCAGAGTCAGTGGCCAGGGGACCCATTCTGCCACGTTCGTTGCTAGTAATTTTGGAATTGTTCACTAGTCGTTTTCTCACTGAAAAAGAAAATCTACACGCATTACTTTCCGCTTTTTTAATCATTTCTGAAACCCAAGCAGGCAGGGCTTGGTTAGTTTAGTGATGGGAAGGGACCTCTGGAACGCCAGGTGCCACAGTGGGGCGCGGGTTAAGGGCCAGACTGTCCGTTTTCCGGAGGCAAGACACTTAAACCAACATTAAGAATGAGTCCCTGGTGTGTGTGTGAATGGTTTGGTGGGTGGTAGGAGGGGTCGATGGCACATAGTGGTTTGCCCGCTTCTGTCAGTGTGCCCCAGGGCATTGTGGCTACAGTAGTAGTCTATCATCACACTTGAATACATGCATGGAGTGAAGAAAAAGACATGTGAAGCGTCTTTAGTGTCCAAAAAGCGCTGTAAAAACGAATTATTATTACTATCACAATATATTTCAAATATATGAACAAAAAACAATGACCAGGATACAGAAAAATATGTACAGTTATGATGCGGGTGAAGCAGACATGTATTTGATCGAGCAGTCCCCGGTTTACACAGCACTAACGGGCTTTTGTTTAATATGGTAATTGGTGTTTGCTTTGTGTGTCTATGAATGAAAAAGCCGATGCATATGTTGATCATTTCTTTGTCTATGTTTTAAACAGAGAACACCGTTGTAATCGACCCTAAAACGCCTGTCCTCGTCGCGCCAGTGGGTTCGCTAGTGGTGGACACGAACTCGCCTCATCAGTGGTTTGGAAACCTCGTCACGATGGTAACGACTCACAACTCCAATTATGTGAGCCAAATTTAAGCAATTTTGGGCCTCATATCAGGCCAATTTAAGCATTTTAGATTAGTCCTCCTCTTGAACAATGTGTGTTTTACCTGTTTGCTCCACCCAAGTTTTTAAGAGTTTTAAAACAGTTTTTACAAAACAAAATAACTCAAACAGGACAGGAGATGTGAAGCTTACATATGCAGATTGTAGACTACTCTATACCTTTATGCTTTTGTCATAATTTCTGAATTTTGATGTTTTGGTGCAGGTGTGGTGGACCCATCTGTGGGCTGAACGAGGGCTTTGCGTCGTGGATAGAGATCTCTGCGTGGACCACTGCTTCCCGAGTACGACATCTGGACCCATTTGTGTCCGCGGACTACACCCGGGCGCGGACCTGGGACGCTTTGGACACAGCCATCCCAACGAGGTCACACATATCACAGACCAAAATGGAGGCAAAAGTAGAAAAATATGTTTGATAAAAAGAAGGACCCGTTATTCAAGACTTTTTGGAGATTTTTTTGTTTTTTTTTTCTATGTTACAATATACAGAATGGAGAACCCTTTTTATTGCCGTGTGAGTAACAGGAGTCACAAACTGGGAAATTGCTTTGGCTCTCATTACTTACTCACTCAGTGTCCCACGATGACATCAGTTTCCTGCCTACAAACGTATTGCGAACAATAGTAGTTGCCCCTACATTAGGCGTTGGTAATTCTCAAGTAAATGTTGTTCTTTACAAGGCTGTGTTTTGCAGCTGGCTAACTTTCAGATTTGGATATAAACAAAATAGATTAACGCCTCCCCTCTGGTGGCAGCAGTGGGCTTTACAGGTACAAAGATATATATATATATTTTTTACTCTTCACTTGTTACTATAGATATTATTTTTATTGTACATGTTCTTAGATATTTCACTATTCCTAGATAGACAACAACAAAGTAAATGTTGTATAGTATTATTTTGACTATAGACTGATGCATATAATCTAATTGATAACGCATTTAAAACATTTGGTTGCAGAGACAATTGTGCATCTCCCATGGACATTTCACCGGGGGATTAATTCATAAACATATTTGCACTAATGTTTTCCATTAATCATGTTTGCCCTTTTGATGCGATTAGCCGATACAATACAAGAAAGCTAAGCGTTGTTTGAAAGGCTTGTGCGTACTCCTGCCAGATAATGCATTAAAAATGAACTCAAGGTCTGGACAGATTTCATTAAAAGGTTATTCTCATTAAAAACATTTATTTTTTCCCATCACGTTTTATCAGAGAATACTGTGTGGAGTTAGGAGTAGTTTTTGTAGACAAGCTCTTTCTTTAGGCTCTCCGTCATACAATCATAAATCACACCTTGTTCCGGTTTTTGCTTTTCTTTTTCATATGGACCTTGATGGCATTAAGTTGGACCTAAACAGCATTGAAAATTCCTAATAGGTCTTAACTTTCACGTTGGCCAAACCTGGAGCTACTTGTACTATTAAATTATCGTATTTTGTACCAATTTGTTGTAAGCCTGGTTCGTTTTGAGATGGCAAAATATTGCTGTGACCCTTCATTTCATTTACTTCATTTCATTTACTTTAATTTCATTAGTGTCGTTTGGTCATTCAGTCAGTCCAGTTTTAAATCAAAAACAAACACAATCA